TCTGAATGATTAAGAAAATAAGCTATTGCTATGTATGACAAATGCTTGACTTGAACTAGAAACAAATTACTTGCAAAAATGTTTTAAAAGTACCCGCGGGGAACTACTTATTGAAAATTTTTTTAATTATTTTGGGTTAGTGTAGATACTAACTATTAATGCTTTAAGAATCCGGGTGGCTAAATAAAAATTATACAATCGTGTAGAGGATAAAATTTGGGCTTTTTAGGCTCCGACTCGAAAGGTTCAAAGCTTCAAACCATTGAAACGGTTGAGTCTTCACTCATTTTCCTTATTAAAGAGAGATTTTCTTCTTATTAAGGAGAAAAATGAGACTCGCGTCCTCCATTTTTCCTTTCCTTTTCTTTTCCCATATTGGTTAAAGAAAGAGAAAAAGAAGAGGAAAGAGAAGGAAAGGCAACACTGCCTTCTCCTCTTTTCATTTTTAATCCAAATTAGTTGAGAAGGCAGTGTTGTCTTTTCATTTTCTTCCTTCTTTTTCTTTAACCAAGATTGGAAAAGAAGAGTAAAGGAAAAAAGGAGGATGGGAGTCTCACATTTCTCCTTAATAAAAGAAAAATCTCTCTGTAATAAGAAAAATAAGGGAAGACTCGACCGCTCCAAAAGACTGAAGCTTTGATCAGCTATAACCTTTCAATTTGGAGATCGGAGCCAAAAATACCAATAGGTTATCGACTATGCTCTACGCGATGGTATAATTTCTATTTAAAAATTTTTACTTGTTTCGGAAGGTTCCCTTGTTAGCATGTGAAAAACCTATTATAATTTAAATGATAGTTTTCAGGGGCCAGTAAAAACAAGGATTACCGGTATCTTTTTTTAAGTGTGAATTCGATATTTATTTTGGTACCATTCCTTAGAGGACTACTGCCTTCGTATCGCGCAATGCTACCCGCTTTCTTGCAAAATGAATTTGAGTCGAGTAGTTAGAAGCCGAAATGTTCTTTCACCATCGCAAAACAATATAAAGAAAGCAGAGAGAAGGAAAAATATGTAGTTAATTCAATTTCGGTCCCTGAAAGTTGGTCTTCTTCCCCGCTAGTACGACTAATCTTGACGAGCTCTTTCGAATTGGCCCAGCAAAAATAGCTTCTATAGGTCACAATATGCTGAATAACATATATTCCGAGCCGATCGGAGTCTGTTCCCTTGAAACTAATTTTACCCTCAAACATCCCAATTACATAAATTTTGATAGACCATAATTCGACGGGGCCATTTTGTAATAAAACATCACTTCGCAATAGGAAGTCGGGGGTTCTCTATCGAATGGTACCAAAAAATATAACAAATTCACACGTACAGTAAACAATGTTCCCATGTTAGTTAATAATAACCCGAAAATTTAAAATTAAACTTGCAAAAATACCACCAACAGCAGCAAGGACAGCAATTGAGGTTGCGCAATTACAGTAAGGAGCAATTAAAGTTTTTCTCACACATCTGCCTAGATTTAAAAGTAAAAAATTAAAAAATAATTTTTTAATACAAACACAAACTTTAAATAATTCCCCAGAAAATTTTTATCTACGGACCTATGTAGGAGTAAGCTTTTAGAATGACTAGCAATACAAGAATGCTTGAAGAAATCACACAACCATCGGAGCCGAATTTGAAATGAAAAGATCGGATAACCTGATCGGATGATGAGGGTTACTATAAAAACTTATCGATACCTCTGATTCGCTATAATAGCAGATCTATATGGTCAGAATGCGTGGACGGATATGAACGTGTAAAGTGTTTCGAACTAGAAATAGGAGAAGTTGATCCGATACCTATAGACAGATATTGATCCGAATCTAAATCCATAGGGTAAAAAACCATACAAGCTCATTTTTGGGTGAAAAATCTGAAAATGTAAAAAACTGCTCAATCGAAGAGCTCGTCTACTGACAATGAGTCGAATGGACTCCTCATACGTCCATATCCGTTCACCCATCAAAAATCGAAAAAAAATCGAAAACAAAATTCTCTGAAAACCAAACCCCAAATTTTAAACTAAACCTTGTTGGAACATCCATTATTCACACAAGTTAGAAAACCATTGCCATAGTTCAAATCCATCTTCTGAATAATGAATAAATAAAGAAATTGAAGTGGAGATCATAGAAAATTTAAAAATGTTTTATCTGAAAAAGAAAACAAATTAATTTAAAAATCAAGTGAGAGAATGTAAAAAAATTTAAGGAAGGAAACAGAGATAATCGAAAACATCAAGCAAAAAAGGAAGCCATTTTTGAATTTGAATGAATGGTTTTTCTCTCTTTCTCTAACCTCCCTACTATTTCATTTTCGTTCGGACAGGACACTTTGTCGCGAGTTTATTTTAGCCCAACTCTATCGCAATGGTTAAAAATAGGGGTTGTTTCTAAAAACTAGGGTATCACCCCAACCCAGACCGACGATTTTTTGGCAAGAACCCCGACCCGAACACCGAAGGCTAACCCGGCAATTTTGGCAGCCAGGCAATCTTCAGAATACAACGAACAAGGAATCAATTTAAACTATTTAGACCAAGAAATATGAAGTAGTCATGTTTTGGCGTGCATGGATTGTCGCGGAAATGTTTTGGTGTGATCGAGTTAAAGCGCTGATAACGTTTGACTGTTAAATATCCCCCGAACGTTTTTCCTAGATAACTTTTTATTCCACCAACGTTTCAAAAAAATCCGTATTTGACAAAAAGTGGGGAAAAATCATAGAGAAGGCAAATGTAGAGAAGGGCATTTTCTCGTACAAGCACACATTCATATAAAAGGTTGCCCTAAGACATAAACGTTTTTATAACCTAATTTGAAAATTAATCCTGTCTACATTTACATGGGTGTGTAATAGAGGAAAAGAATACCCTTCTCATCAAATTCGAAAAAGTTAAATTGATTACACCAATAAGTACCTAATAAATTTAGAATCAACGTTACCAGCGCCCAAATCATTACACGCCAAAACCTAGCCTACAAATCATTGCATTATCAGAAATGTATAAGGGATGGGTCGGGCTAAAAAATTCGGGTAGGTTCGATGTTCTTAGAAAGCAAGTTATTTTCCTTTTTTAGCGCCTCGGTAAAATTTTGGAGGCCAAAAAGACAGATTTCGAACTTCTTGAAGAACTCGAGTTCTAGATCAAGTTTTCATAATTTTTTCCGAGTCTAAAAAAAGATCTAGTTTCGGGTAACCCATCCCTGATACATTTCTGAGGGGAGGCAAAAACATTACAAAACAGTATTTGGTACTTATGAAGATGGAGGTGCCCTTTCTGCGGACTTTTTTTTGCGGACTTTTCTTCCTTTCTTTTAAATGTATTTTTTAAAGTTTTGGTTGTTTGCTTTGAGAAAGTTTTGCTGGTAGCAACTAACTGTCAAAGGATTAATTTTTATGTCAGTTTGAAAAATATGTGTTTTTTAAACATTATAACCGCAAAATGTTACAATCAATAAAAAATTTTACTTTAACTAAATTGTATGATAAAAATTCAATTACCCGATGTTGAATTTCAACAATGATCACGGATCTCGGAATGCTTCACAGAAAAAGAACATGTGATTATGGAACAGAAATGCGGGTACTTTTAAACATTGTCCCCCCCCCCCATTATTTTTATTACCTAAGATTGTACAAAATGGTCAGATTTTGCGTTGTGGATATTCAGACAATACTTAGACATTGATAAAGAGAAGATTAAAATTAATTAAGTTGTTCAATATTTTTAAATATAAGTAAGTAAGAATGTAATGTTTTTACACAGAAATTCTTAATGTTATACACCAAATCAATTTTATTTAATTCTTTTTCTGTTTAAATTGTTTTCGAAGGCAAAAAATAAGTGTATGACTATAAAACTAATCTTCTCTTTATCAATGTCTCTTGTATGAATATGCCAGAGGGCAAATAGAGAGAGGAGAAGAAAGTCTGACCATTATGTACAATCTTAGGTAAGAAAAATAATGTGGGAGGGGCGTTGACAGTTAGTTGCTACAAGTAAAACATTTAAATAAGGGAAGAAAAGTCCGCAAAAAAAGTCCGCAGAAAGGGCACCTCCATCTTCATAAGTACCCAGTATTTAAAACCCTAAGAATTAAAAAGAAAACCTCTAAACTACTCGAAACAGTTACTCATTTAGGAACCAGAATTTGTCACCATTAAATGAGGAAATCCACTTTTCCATCTCAAATTATTGTAGGCATTAGTAGAATGATGACGCAGACAATATCATAATTTAATTATTTTTAAATTTCTAAAAAAACAAGAAAAATTTAAAAAAAATGAAAAAATAATACAAACTAAAATTTAAAAAAACGAAGGCAAAAACCGCGTGCCCGCTCAAAGGATAGATGAATCAAAGGATAGATACGGCTAAAATCGATCAAAGGATAGACGCGGCCAAAAGCTGCTAAAGGATAGATAAGGCAAAAAACGATTAAAGGATAGATGCATCAAAGGATAGATGCGCCAAAGGATAGATTAGGGTAAAATCTATTAAAGTATAGACACGTCTAAAATTGGGTAAAAAATAGATAAAGTTTGGAGGCAAGTTGAGTATCAACTGTTAAGTGCACTTTTTTGATGGTTCAAGTTCTGATTTTTCTTATGATTTCAGGTTTGTTCTGATTTTTATTTTATTCTTACTTTAGTATATTCGCGGAAAAAAGTTTTTGCCGCTGCGGAGCAAGCCGGGAATGTCGAGCGGAACGACGGCCGCCGCTTTGCTACGGCCGCCGCTTCGCTACGCACGACCGCAGCGAAGCACGGCCACCGTGTAGCGAAGACCATGCCCGGCCTACCCTCCGTAGCAGTACAAAAACAGTTTTTCCAGCGAAGATTCTGTTGGTTAAATATTTTTGTCCAGACTCAACCGACCTATTCCGCTGTCTATCCTTTGATCGCTTTTGACCGTATCTATCCTTTAGCGAATCTATCCTTTGATGCATCTATCCTTTGATAGTTTTTGGGCGTATCTATCCTTTAGTGCATCTATCCTTTAATTTATCTATCCTTTGTAGGGGAGCCCAAAAACCGTCAATTTCCTTTCTATGTCTTTTACATTATCTATAAAATTAATAGACATTATGCCAAAATTGTTTTATTCAAATTTAATTCAAAAGGTTTTAGCGAATTAAAAATTTCAAAATGTCTAAAAGAGGAATAATTAAAATTTTGGTAAGATGTTGAATTTATTTTTAAAAATTCGAAATCAATAAAAAATGTTTTCATACAAAAGTTGGACGTGTGACTCAATAGTCATCTGAATAAATAAGTATTAGAAAAATGACTCATTTAGTTCATGTAAATTTCGAGTTGGTCCAGATTCCCGAAAACCGAGAATAGGAGATTGAACGTCAATAAAATAAGAATGCTAAGTTTGTGTGCCTTGATCAACCTTTTATCAAGAAATAGTGTCTTCATCTCTCTTAATAATTTTGTGGCTCTAAAGAGGGCCGTTTATTAAATTAATCATTTTGTCTACCCAAGAATCAACTTATTAGAGTTCACGTAGTTTTCGACTTGGGTCCAGATTCATAAAAACCGAGAATAGGGGGTTTCGTTAGGCAGGATCCTTAATATATAGCCTGTTGTGTTTGCACTGGCAGTAAGAATAGAAAGGAAAAATAAATAACCAAGTACACTGCGGTGCATATGTTTATGCACACTAGTTTTTTGTTCATAATTTTATGCAATCTTATTCAAAAAATACGTTCTTTATAGCAATCGAAAGCTCTATTTGCATCTCAGTTGACATGTTTCTGCATTTTCCATGAAAATGAAAATTGGCCGAGATAATCCGGATCTACCGGATATACCAAATCTCATATCCTCGGAAAAATTTTTCGGAAAAAATTTAACAAACCCATTTGATAAAGCATATTTTTGTGAGTATTTACCACAAAACCGCTTAGAAATATCTTTTTCCGGAACGGAGATATGATTTTTTGAAAATCGAAAAAAAGCGATTTTTTGACGAAAAATGGCAAAAATATGGTATTTTTTCGATTTTCAAAAATTCATAACTCGGTCGAATTTCGACCGATTTGGATGATTTTTTTGTATTATATGTAGAATCTAGAGGAGAATCACATATATTTTTTACAGACCTCAAAAAAATTTCTTCGAAAAGTTGAAAATGTAGTACCTGTTAGACCGGTCGAAAAGTTTTCGAAAATATCAGAATTTCGAAAAATGCAGAAAGATGTCAACTGAGATACAGATAGAGCTTTCGATTGCCATATAGAACATATTTTTTGAATAAGTGTGCATAAACTTATGAACAAAAAACTAGTGTGCATAAACATATGCACCGCAGTGTATCGGGTTGGATGGAAACACAGTCAGTTGGGCTTCTGTTTGGGCCCTTTCCATGATGGTTCTATTCCATCTCACATCCAGTGAATTTTTCGCAGCATGAACATCGTGATCACATGTATCAGCGTGGATCACATCGTCTTATCTCTATATCAAGTCTCGTATTTCATTGCTTATTTCCACACTTCTTTTCTGAGAAAAATTTTTTTGTTCCTTTTTCGGCCTTTCCTTTCCATTTTTTAAGGGTTTTCGAAATTTAATTATTTTTATTTAGATAATTTTTTAAAATTAAATCAATTATTTTAAGACTAAAAATTAAAATAAAATTATTTTAAGTAACATTTTTATAAGAAATTTCCCCCAATTTTCCCCTCATTTCTCCCAATTAATTTTCAATAAATTCCATTCTAGTTCAGATAATTTTTCCTTTTTTTTATTAAATTAATTATTTTTCCACTTGAAAAATAAGACGAGAGCAAATTAATTTTTTTTATTAAAATTGGGTCTAGGTCCTTTTTAAATTTTTTCAAAATTATTTTTAAATATTTCCGCTCCTCCAATAAATTTTTTCTCTTGACACAATCATTAACACTTTATTAAATAGAGAGAAGTATATCAAAACAATTTTTCTGTGTGTGGTAATGATTGTTTTCCGAAAATTGGAAGTTCCTTCAGCAATAACGCTAATTGTTGGGCAATAGGCTGTAAGGATGTGCGCAAGGGAAATTGGCGTTTTAAATTTTTTGGCGTTCTGATTTTTGGCGTTTTAGTTTATTTTTCTCTACTTGGCGTTTTTTCCTATTTCTTTTGGTACAAGAGACTAGAGATCGATATTTTCAAAAATCCTGGATCTGGATTTAGGTTAGTAGCCTGGACAGGATTTTTGATCTGTATCCAGGAAAAATTCAGACTGGGTCCAGATCCAGACCGATCTCTACAAGAGACCTCCAGAGTAAACAAAGATACACCACAATTAAGACAAGTACAGTTGGGGGTGGGGAAGAGGCAGAAGAATAAACTACTATATCACCAATTTAAATACACCCCATTGCTTATGGTTCTTTTAGCGAGTTTCGATAATTTCGATATTTTATTCCTTGCCGTTTCTACTTTAAAAAATTTTAGTTTTGGCGTTTAACCTTCTTTGCGCACACCGCCTTGACTCCTTAACTGTCCTTAGATGTGCGCCATTTTTGGCGTTTTCAATTTTTTGATTCCAAATTATTTTCAAAATTTAATTGCGCACATATCTGCACATAAAAGAGTCGTCAGGTTGTGTTGTTGTCACAACAACTCGCCGTTCTCTTTAACTTTTTCTCTCAATACATAGACATTCGTTCTTTTTCACACATTTTTCTTCTTTTTTCGCGCTTTACTTCTCTCCTCTCCATTTAGTTGTTGACTGGTTGTTGTGACTGGTTGTTTTGTTTTGTTGCCACTATAACTCGTCTTCTCTGAAATCAATTTTTTGGTGAAAAAAATCCAAAAAAGAATTTCTTTTTTGGAGAATGCCTGCTCCAAAATGTGAGGTTCACGTTCGGCATTGTTGCTGTTGTGGATTGACGCCTGGGGCTTTTTTGATTGGACTTTATACTTTGGTTGGGATTTATTAACCTTTTTTGAAATTAATTTTTTTTTCGAAATTTTTAAAAAAATTTTCATTTCTTAATTGCCAAAAAATCATGTAATTAGGTAATCAAAGTTGTGGTTAGGTCATTTTTCTGGGTTATGGACTAGAAATCGGTATTTTCAAAAATCCTGGATCTGAATTTAAGTTAGTAACCTGGACAGGATTCTTGATCTGGATCCAGGAAAAATCCAGACTGGATCCAGATCCAGACCGATCTCTATTATGGACCTATGACCAATGGGTCTGGGATCACCCGTTAGCTCATATGATTTTTGGATGGTCAGTCAAATTTTAAAAATCAGAAAAATCATAAATTTCCAAACTTATCAAGCTAACGAATGGTCCAAAGTCAAGTGGCCACTAAACTCTAACCCAAAAAATCCTACAATACCTACATAATCTAAAAAAGGCGAACAGCCCTAACATAACAAAAAACCCTCTCCCAAATTCATCAATAATTTTAAAGATTCTCTACGCCTTATTAGCTATATTAGCTGCTTGGGCATTACAAGAGACAGCAACTAATGGAGACGTTCCAATTTACCAAAATTGTCAATTAGAAGCTCAAGACAAAATCAATCAACATATTAAAGTCCCTTTTGGGAATGGGTCTTTTGTTGAGGTTTTGGACAGTTCAAATTACCATTGTTCTTTGGGAATGTATACCGAGGAAATGAAATATGCTGCTGGAGGTGAGAGGAATTTTTTGGAATTTTTAAAATAATGACAGTCGAACCTCGTTTTTAAATACAGCCAGAAATACGCTTAAATTTATGATCCATTCGTTTAAATTTAGTTAGCCAGTAGTTGTCTTTTTGGTTAAGTCGGATATGTTTGGATTTTCACTGTCAGAAGGTCGTGGGTTGATGTTGATCCATTGATGTGGTTGATCCCATTGATGGAAAACATTTTTATTTTATCAAAAAATTGTTTTTAAATAAGATACCCTCTATTTAACATACAGCTCATTATTAATACACTATTTTTTCATCAACAAGGAGTATCTTATATTGAGATATATCATCAGGGTGTGCGCCAAAAACCGTGTGTGGTAAAACGCCAAAACTAAAAATTCGATTTTTTATTTCCGAAAAATCCATTAGAAAAAACAAATAAAAAAAGGTGAAAAGCCATTGTTGCCATAAATTAACAGAAAACAAAAAAAAAACTGGTTTGGCTTTTTCATTGTTTAAGGAAAAGGAAAACATTAAGAGCCAAGTTTCTGAATGTGTGACTAATTTATAACAAAAAAAGCCTTTTAAATTGTTAATTTTAAATATGGAATTTTTTATGACATAACTAATAAACTCTAAAATTAACTTTTTGAAAAAATATTGGTTGAAAAATAGTTAAAAATAGGTTTGTTAGCGATCAGTTTTAAATAGGAAGCAAAAAATAATATTAATGATTTAAGCATCAAAAGGTCTAATGTTTTTAGTTACACCACAAGGTACCGCTTTCTTCAGAATTATCGAATCCGGGAGCTTTTGTATGGTTTGATGCGCCTCTACGAGCTGAATCGAACCATACCAAGGCGTCCCGGATTTGATAATTCTGAACGAAGTTATAGCTCTGCGGTATTTTGGTCTTACGGTAACTTGGCCTGCTTCCTTTTTTCAAAATGGGGGCAGATTAAAACATAATTGTCAATTCCATCTTCAGACCATTTTTTCTAAACGTTTATTTTTTGTTTAATTTTTCAGGACGCACCTTAGCCCTACTAATAGCCTTATGTGTCTATATTCCAATGATCGTTGCAAGTTTACTAGTATTAATAGGAATTTGTCTCCATTTTTCGTGGTTATTACTTCCTTGGTTAATAATAATGCCTTTGGATATAATACGTGGATTAGTCTCTACAATACTAATTTTAATTTTAAATCATGGACAGTTGGCTAGAATTGCTACAGGAATTTTCTTTTTGGGACTTCAATTTCTTCATGTTTTTCTTTTTTTAAAAATTTAACTTGATTTTCACATAACCACGCAAACATAACTGAAGAACCGAGTAGTATTTTTCGGCTTGGATATAAATTAGGTTCTACTATACGGTTCGTCAGTCCAATACCAGAAGTACCTAAAAGCCCTATTCGTTTCGACAGTACCGAATCGTGCTGAACACTGGTTCGGTTCTAGATATCCGAAAATTCACTGAATCAGAGCTGTGCGCCAAAAATTTATTGAGGAACGCCAAACGATAAACGTCAATTTTTCATATTTTTAAAACACGCCAAACGCAAAACGCCAAAATCGGCCAAAATCGGACGCCAAACGCAATGACGCTCAGCCCTACACAAAAAGTATGCTCAGATTCTTGAAAAAAGTTTGGAAAATGTTGTTTTGTGTTTGGCGTGCCGTCTGAAAACTTTTGCGCACAGCCCTAATTCGTTCCCTATGTAATTGCGTGGCTTTGCGTGATTTAAATATCCAGCTATTGCCATCTAAAAATATTTTTTTAAACTAGATCTCCCTTTGGATACTCGTTTTGGCCAAATTCTTAAGAATGCGGCAACACCATGTTGTTGTTCACCACCAATATGATTCTAGGCATCCCTACCCTCCTGGACATCAGGTAGATCTGTGATATATTTCCTAGGCTATCCTATAGTAGCCTGCCCACTCTAATTTTAGCCCCTCTCTAATAAAAACACTTGTAGTAGTCTACTTTCTAATAAGTCCACCCTCTCTCTAATAGTGGCCCATCTTTTAATAAAAGCCTTTCTATTAAAAACCTACCCACTCTGCTAAAAGTGGATCCTAGTCTTATAAAATAAAGGTCCATTCTTTACGGTAGACTTATTAAACTGAAGACTTACGATAATTTTCTGCTAAAAGTAATGACGTTTCCCAAGGTTTATCTAAACAGTAGAGTACATAAATAAACTGAAAAAAGAAGAAAAAAATTTTCTGAGAGATTTCTCTGCCTAATTTTGATCGATGGACTTTATGAGCAGTTTTGACAAGCAATATAAACGCCGAAATAAAATTCCATGCAAGTCCCCCCTTTTCATCGAGCAAAAATTCCTTTACTTTTTAATAAACACTTGTGTCTTTCTTCTCTTCTCGCGCATTGCCCTTCAATATTTAACCGCATTTTAGTATTTTATATTATTTTATAAAATAGCCTTTAGCGTTATTATTTTTTACGCAAATTAAAAATAAATTATTTTGATATTTTTTGGCGTTCTGAAATTAATTTTGAAAATCTTCTTTAAATCATCTTTAATGAATCCTGGTTTTGATGTGCGCCAAAAATGAAAGCCAAAATTAAGCCAAAATGAAAATTTTCGTTTTGGCGTTATAAAATTTTAAGGCGCACACTTATACTCTCAGAATAATAATTTAACAAGATTGCTGCTTTTTGGTTAAGTCGGAAGTGTTTGTGTTTTCACTGTGGGGGGTCATGGGTTCGAATCCCGGTGATGGAAAACATTTTTTATTTTATCGAAAAATTGTTTTTTAATATAAAACTCAATTCTTATTGATTCTAAAAATATTTTTACAATTTTTAAACCCAATTTATTGGAAAATTAAGGGAAATGCGCAACTTTTTTCTTCATTCCTTCTCTCTCCCTTAATAATTGCTGATTAAATCCTTTCTCTTTTTTACCGCAATCAGTATATTGCCGATCAACCCTTTCTATCCTTTTTTCTCTTCTCTTCTTCCCCTCTTCAATTCCCGCAAAACCAATGACGCGCATTCTTAAAAAGGCCGGTCAGCACCAGCAGGCACAGAAAGAGAAAAAGAAGATTGATCCTCTCCTTGCTCCACGCCCTCCCTTATTTTTGTTAATTTTTCTTTCAAAAACGTATTACACATTTTAGTAATTCTAGTGATTTCTATTTATCAATTAATTGCTTTTATGTGTCGAGAATTGCGGCGCTGCAGATTTTTTGGGAGAGAAAAGGGGTTATTCCCCCTCTTTTTCTTTAGACTCTCAAAAATTCCGTTGCGTCGCAACTCTACACTTTTCTGGCCAATTTTTTAATTTCTTTAAAGATTACTAATTTATATAAATCTATTAAAACCAAGAATTTTCTTTCAATATTTTCTTTAAATTTCCTGTTCGACCAAATGAAATAAATTTAGATGAGTATCTAAATGGAAGGGTAGTTATGGGGCAATTTATGAGTCAGACTCTGCCTGATATGGGGAAAATGGTCTTCAATTAGTCTCGAAAATGGGTCCCAATTAGGGACCGAGGGGAGGAGGTGGGCGGGATTCTCCTACTGAACTAAGACTATTGTTTTTCCAATTCGACCCCGAACTGGAAAAATCTTGGAATATCAAGCATTTCTCCTTAAATCTTTTTTCTATATAAATTTCAAAATTTTAGCCCTATGGCGGAGCTTACTACGGCCCAGAAGGTGGCAGCTACACATACTCCCCAAACTCTGGAAGACGTATCCCTGTCCAAACTGAGGCGGAAGACTATGCTGCTAGACAAGGAAGAAGCCCGCATAGACGATACTACGATGATGGAGGTTCTAGATACTAAAGAGGGAAAAGGAAGAAAAAATAAAGAATGAAAATAAAAAAATAATTTTGTCTCTTTAAAAATACAAAAAATTTATGCCAAAAATCTACAAAAATTTTAACGCATTTTATAACAATTCTACAATATTTTTTATAGTCAACTTAAATTTATCTCAAAGGAAAATGTTCAACTCTGCCAGAAAATTATTTTTGTATAAACACAATAAAGTTTTTCAACTATTTCCGGTTGGTTGTCTGTTTGGTGTAGTTGGAACGCTCCGAGTTTTCCGCTGTGAAGGGGTCAAGGTTCGAACCCCACTGAGGGAAAATATTTTTATTTTGGTTTAAAACTAAAATATTAACAAAATTTCGTTTTATCCCACTATTTTTAGATATCTCGGATTTTTATTTCCATGTTTCTAAATATTTAAAAAATGTTTTTACTCAATATTTTTATGTTTATTTTATTAACATTTACCATGGCAATATTGCAGCCATTCAAAACATTTTTGTCATTTTCAGCTGCCTTTAACGCCCCCCAATTTCCCTTTCAATACATACATTTTTTAGCACCGTTCCCTGATTGTCTGCAGAACCCAAAAGAAACCGTCGATTTTGGCGCTGCCGCCCTTTTATGTTTCTTCTACTCAATCCACAACAACGACAACGCTCATTACTCGGATTCCCCCTCTCTGGCTTTTTTTTGCTTTAACGCTAATAAGTGTGCCAACTCTCTGTGCCCTTAACACGCTGTATATGCCAATAACTGGATTGCCATAAGTAGAAAATACCCATATGGCCGAGAGGGACAATTTGTCCTATTTTCGTCAGATGGGCATTTTGATGTCCAATACTTCTATTGGACATTTTGGCCATTTTTCTTTTGCTTGACCATTTTGAGACCTTTTTCCTGTAAGACTTTTATATCTTCCTGTTTGGACGTTTTGTCATCTTTTCCTCAATTGGACATTTTGAACATTTTCTTGCAACTGGACATTCTTCACCTAGCTAGCTGTCTTGCTTTTCCCCTATAGTGACATTTCGAGCAGTTACCTTAACTGGACATTTTGAGCATTTTCTTCCAACTGGGCATTCTACACCTAGCTAGATGTCTTGCTTTTCCTCTATAGTTTTTTATGCCGATATGAGTCAAAGCAAAGTACCGCCGCGTCATTTTTCGTTATTTTCCTTCTACTCTTTTTCTCTCTATTTTTGCTGCCAACCACCACTCTCAGCACAGTTTTATGCCATTACTTCACCACCTCTCGGCATTTTTATATATTTTTTACTACAAATGCCTAGGAGACTTTTAACGCTTTTCCGCAACACAAACGTTCGCTTAATATGTGGATCGATCTTGTGCTTATTTTTTATTAATTTTTTTAGTCCATTTTTGGGAAAACACAATTTTTGTTGTATTTTTACGTCAGAATTATTTATATATTAATCTTTTATTATCCCTCTTCCCTTTTTGCCCATCATTACAAGTCTAAAGGCAAAATTGTTTTTTTATTATTTGGCCGCCCAATGGCGGCCAAATAGCCGCTTAGGTGGCTAGTTTAAACTACCTAGACTTAAATAGTTTTTAAACGGTAATGCGTGGTGGCCCTAATGCGGGGGATCATCAGCATTTATCTTCTGCCTTGCTTAAAACTTTGCTCAATACAAGGCCTAATTCCAGGTAGTTTTCTTGATTTTTAGTTAAGTGAACTACAATAGAACTAGTTGTAAGATACATCCTTGGGGCTGGAAATGTTATCCCAATAATGGTGGTTTATTAAATAGACGGTATTGATTAGAGATAGAAAATTTTTGAAAAGCCTGGGCCTGTTCTTGGACTCCGAATTTGATTTATTGACCTGGGTCGGATCCTCGGCTTGTAGTCCAGGAAAAACCCAGGAAGGTAAAAAAATGCATGGGCCTGGACTCTAGGTACAGGAAAAATTCAGGCCTTGGCCCAGACCCAGCTCGATCTCTAGTGTTGATTAGGTAACCCTTTCTCTCTTAAATTCAACAGATTCTAATAGACAATAGAACGGTTACTTTATTTCCAAAAATAAGCCTTACCCCCTTAATTAGAAGCCCACTTTGGAGGTAGTTGAAAAATAGAGCCCCATGAACTTATCTTAGGCAATACAGTAATTGTTGCCCAAGACTAATGCCTTAGTAATTTTATCCCAATCAGCCCAGACTCTAATGGCTAACAATTTTGGTCTCTAATAGCATACCAAACCTGCTATTTGACAAAATTTACTATTTTTCCAATAAAAAATTTACCAAATTATTTTTCCAATTTGCAGCAAAAAATATTTTTGTGTGCCAAAGTCAATTAGGATAGCAAAGAATTAGGGGGCTAAAAAACTTTGGGTGATGGGTATATTAAAAAGCTTCCTTGTCTTCACTCTTTTTTCCTTTTTTTTGCAATTCAATCCCTCCTTTTTTTACCCTAAACTAACACAATAGAAAAAAACTTTTTTTTGGTATCTATTTTGGTTAAAACTCCCTTGGGGATATGAGGATAAAAATGAGAAAATGACTCTAGCCAATGCAATTTGGGAAAAAAGGGAAAAGAAATGTTTGGCGGGGGTGATAGCTTTAACGCTTTTTTATTGTTTAAATAACTCAAAATAAATTTTGTGGTTGTAAATTAATATATACAGTAATTGGTGTGCGCAAAATTGATTTAAAGACGTTAAAAACACCAAAACTTTTTTTGGTGTAGTTGGATAGTTTTTGGTTTTCCAGTGGCCGGGGGGTCTGGGTTCGAACCCTTCTGCGGGAAAACATTTTTATTTTGGGTTAAGACTCAAATATTGTAATGGGTGTGCGCAAAATTGATTTTAGGAGGTTAAAAACGCCAAAACTTTTTTTGGTGTAGTGGGATAGTTTTTGTTTTTCCTGTGGCCGGGGGGTCTGGGTTCGAACCCTTCTGCGGGAAAACATTTTTATTTTGGGTTTAAAACTTAAATATCGTCTCAACATTAATTTTTTTAAAATTTTTTCAGTCTATTCCGCGCTGCATTCCAATATTTGCCAATTCGAGATTCACCAAACGAGAATCCACATGTTGAGGTTTTGTGATAAATTATTTAATTCTCGACATGTGCGCCAAAAATATTTTTTAATAAAACGCCAAAAAAGTTTGCGTTTTGAAAAAAATATTTTGGCGCACATCGAAGACTTGAAGTGATAAAAATAATCTTTTAAAATCATTTTATCAGTTGGCATTACAACCTGGAGAATTAGTTTTGGTGCACGGCCCGATGGACGAAGACTGTTTCTATTGGGGAGAAACATTGGATAATCGTGCCGGTCTAGTCCCTTCAAATTTTGTGCAGAGGGTATCAGACGAGGAAATGTCCAATCTTCTTCAACAGACTTCCCTCCAACAACCCTCAACCTCAAAAACATTTGTCCCAATAGAAGAAAATTTTTGTTGTTCGTCAATCCCCTCAACATCAACAATAACAACAACAACAAATGCTGCTACACAAAATAATAAAATTTTTAATTTAAAACAACAATCTCCACTTGTTATTAATAGAGTAGACTCTCCCTCTTTTGTGTTGTCTGTTCCCCAACATTTAGCGCAAATTAGACACGATTTTACAGAATTAGAGAAACAACAAAAACATTTGTTGCAACCTGATTCGGTTAGACATTAATAAAACTTAAAATTAAAACTTGGAATTGTAAAATATGAAATTGTAAAAACAAAACCTGAATATTAAAACTTGAATTTGTGAAAAACAAAGTAGGAGAAAAAATAAACTTGAAATTAAACTTGGTATTGTAAAACTTGGAATTATTTAAACACAACTTGAATTGTAAAACTTGGATTGTAAAAATGTTAGAATATTAAAAAATAAACTTGGAATTGTAAAACTTGACTAATAAAACTTGAATTTGTAAAAACAAAACTTAAAGCTTAAAAATAAACTTGGAATCTAAAACTTGAAATTGTGAAACTTGAATACCTATAGCAAGCGTTTTGGCGCACACCATCATTTTCCTCTTTACCCCTCTAACCTTTATTTTTCTTGAACTTTTCGGCTTATTTTTTAATTTTTAGGTTTGCCCTTATCCCCCTACCGACGTTAGCAAAATTACGGTGCAAGAACTAAAACATCCAGACAATCCAAGAATTCCCTATCCACGTGATTTACAAGTAGAAAGACGTCTTTCCCGTTCTTTGCTCATTTCTTGGTTGCCACCAGAAAGTGGGGGTGGAATTCCTCTACATCAACAAACAATTAGCCAATATCAGGCATTTTTGTTTATTTTGAAAAATTATTTTTCCTTAAAAAAGGTCTGTTCAAATAACCAAATATGTGCAGTTGTGCCCGGTTCTTTCAAGTGCCGTGCCTTGCTAGAAGACTTGGATTTAGATAAATTTGTTAATGTTTCTGTACGCTCAGTTACTTCGGATGGGTTAACTAGCCCTGATGCTGCCTGTACGTTGGCTGTAGGTTCTGGTATGTTCTTAAAACATTTGTGTTAAAAAACATTTGTATTTTGTTTTTAGAGTCCCCCGTTGCTCCACAACATGTTCGGTAGGTTTTTAAAAACATTTTACAAACATGTGTAAAGTTAGAATATTCCAACAATGTTTTTGTGTTTTCTAATGTTTTGATTGTTGTGTGTTTTTGTGTTTTCAATGTTTTTGTGTTTTCGCAACAATGTTTTGTGTTTTTGAAACAATGTTTTTGTGTTTTTAATGTTTTGTTTGTTGTGTCTTTTTTACAATTTCTGATTTTGTTCAGAGAAAAATACAAAATTATTCTGATTGTAAAAAATTGTAAAACATGTTTTACAAACTTGTTTTGTTCTGGTTTTTCTTGCCAATAATATCAATAATATTTTGGCTGTGTTTGTATTTTTGTTTTGGTGTTCGTTTAAAAATTGTAAAACACAAAGAGATTAACAAAACTAAATGTTTGAATTATAAAACTTGTTTTACAACTTGTTATTCTGATGATTGTAAAACCTGTTTTATTCTGATCTCTCCCTCCCATAATGTTTTGGTTTTTCTGATTTTTCTGGTTTTTTCTCTCGTTTTGTAATTTTATAATTTAATTTTCTGATTTGTTTTGTTTGTTTAAAAATTGTAAAACACAAACACCGAATTGTAAAACTTGTTTCCCAACTTGTGTTTTAATCTTTCTTTTCTAGTGTAAACAATTTAACCCCAACATCAACACAACTAAGTTGGTATCCTTCAAACAGCAATACCGAACATATAATTCTCTTAAATGCAATAAAAGTTGGCGTTTGTCCGCCTGCTGTCTTTCAAGTCTGTTTTGATTAAATTAGTGTTTTTTAACGTTTTACAGGTTCAAATAAACGGCCTTACACCCTCAACAATTTATCGTCTCTCTGTTAGAACAAAACATCCCCGCGCTGTTTTAGAAAAGAGGCCTGTAGAGAGATGTGTAGACTTTAAAACGTTGCCTAAAAGTAAAAAAAATTTTCTGTAAAAATTTGAAATTTTAAAAATTTTTAGTTGGCCTTCCAGACCCTCCTTTAGAGGTTAGAGCAGAAAATGGGCCCCAGCCTGGAACTTTGCTTGTCTCTTGGAAACCAAATTCCTCACAGGTATATGGGAGGACAAGAAAAGAGTATCAAAAAAAAATTTTCTAAATTTAAAGCCAAGGCCTCCCTCACGTGCAGCAGTTCAAAGCTATTTAGTCTATGCAGACGGTCGATGTATTGCTGAAATCCCCGGGTCAACAGCAGATCATGTTCTGTTGAGGCTTTCTGATTTTGCTGATGACCCTCCAATGTTTATTACTGTCAGAACTAAAACTAAAGAAGGAAATGTTTCTGCTGACTCTAAAGTTGTTCGAGTACCTCGTGGTGGAAATGGAACGACAAATGAGAGGGAAGGAGTCGTCATTATGCAAAATAATTCTTCATTGCCTTACTACTCTTCAGGTAAAATAATATGTAGGAGAATTTGCTTTTCTATAAGTATTAGACTTCGCTATACTCCTTGGAGCTGTTAAAGTACCCAGCTGTCCAAGACTGAAAATTTCCCAAGATTCAATGCCAGACTTGACCCCAAGATAACAGGGCTGAGCGTTATGGAGGTTGGCGTCTTTTTGGCCTGTTTTTGGCGTTTGGCGTTCCACTCGAAAATTTTGGCGCACAGCCCTGAAAGACAACTAGGACTTGACCCCGGAACTATAAGTTACTTCAAGTGGATACCTTATAATGAGTTCTGACCGTTTGAGAAGAAAAGGGAACGTATATTCTACATAATTGCTCATGGCGTTTATTGGATTAAAAATTTTTTTTAAAGATCGACTCATTTCCTCTGAAAAAAATTATTCTTCCCCAAATAAAATTCCAAAAGGACTTTTAATTATACCAACAAAACAACAATACCAACAAAATACATCGGCAACCTCCTTACAAAACAACATTAACAGATGGGAGGAAAAACCAGCTCCACTTACAAATGTTACTGATCCTTTACAACAACAACAAAGCTCTTATCAACAACAACAATATTTTACTTTTCATCCAAAAACTTTGGATAAGGTAGAACTTTTGGAATTGCACGCAACAGGGTTCCGGAAACCATAAGTGTTTATTTGTGCACTATCCTATGTCCCTTACGCACCACTCTTATCCCCTAAGTTCCTTACCAACTACCCTATGTTCTTTACGCACCACCCCATGTTCCTTACGCACAAGGAACTACCTATGCATAAGAAAGACTCCGTTCCCTACACACCACCGCGAGTTCCCTACGCACTACCCTGTGTTACTTATGCACTACTTTATGTTCGTATTTTAAAAATTTCATTTGCAGACTTATTATAATCCTCGAAATGGGACATCAACAAATGACCAAAACAACGGAAATACCCAGCAACCCAACAGCACTCTATACTTTTTGGAGCAGAATTATCTACAAAAACATCAACAACGTCAAAGACTACATTCTGCAGCACCTTCAACTTCCCGTTCATTTTTGCAAAGTAGAGCTTCAAATAATAACATTCTCCCTTCCTCAATTCCTTCACAAATAGCCAAGAAAATGTTAAAAACAAATTTTTTACAACAACATCATCAACCCCCAGAAAGTACTAGAAGTGAACCAGATTTAAGGCCCCTGAGAAGAGATGAAATAAATAGCCGTTGGTTTGTAGCTATTCAGGATCATCAGCCTAGAATGGGGGGAATGAATGAAGAATTGCTTTTTAGAAGACACCAACTTATTAAGGTTTATGGGGATGTGGACATGAACGGCTTCTTTTGGGCTGAAGCTAGAGGTCGTTATGGATTTGTACCTTTCAACAAATTAGTTGAAATTGCTAAAGACGACCTTTTTCTGGCCGCTGAACAACATGCCGGGACTTCTATGCCAGAGGGTGGTCAACAACAACCTTGGGCTGGAGGGATTTCGTCCAGTCAGCGTAGAATGAAATGGGGTAAGGGTCATATTTTTTACAATCGAACCTCACTATGTATAAGATACCTCTTTGAGGGTCTAAAAATTGTATCTAATAATGAAGTGTACCTTAAATCGTGGCGCGAACTTTGCGGACCCGAATTTTGCGGACCCGAACTTTGCGGACCCGAAATTTGCGGAACGAAAGTTGCGGACCCGAAGGTTGCGGACACGAAGTTTGCGGACCTGATCTTTGCGGAACCAAGATTTTAAGACCGACACTTGAGTAAAAAGGAAAAATTAAAAATTTTTTTTTCGAGGATTCCGGCAGAGCTTACCATAATCCGTACCTGATTCAAGATTTTTTCTTGATTTTTCAAAGTTTTTATCAATTTTTTATCTTAAAATTATTTCATAATCAAGATAATCGAGAAAATTCCTTAAAAATCATTTATATGGCCATTTCATAAGGTCATGATGCCTGAGTTTATCCTAATTAACGCCGCAGGCTAAAATTTTTGAAATTTCTAAGGTTCAGTAGACTCTATTGTCGGTCCGCAAATTTTTGGTCCGCAAATCTCAGATCCGCAAAATTCGGGTCCGCATAGTTCGGGTCCGCAAAATTCGAGTCCGCAAAGTTCGGATCCGCAAATTAAAATCCGCAAATTTCGGCGCGCCCCTTAAATAGAGGGATAACGATTAGGCAGCCATCACTCCCAGTTACCTAAACAATAGCGGAGGTACACTATAGTGAGGTCTACTGTATTTCCTAGCTAAAATACCGTTCCTACAGGTTCAATCAAGTCAAGGAGTTACGAGCACACAGAAAGCCAAGGACGTTATGGGAACTACCATGGAGCCGTTCAAGCAGATTATGAACCAGGACGGGGCTCTCAGCCTTTGTATTACCCCGATCCTTACGTTGAGAGAACAGCAAGACGAGGAAGACAACTTCCCGAGTATCGTGGAGCAACCGTTGGGGTTGGAGCTCCAATTGAACAGAGAAATCTGCCCAACCTTGGAGATGTCAAAACAACTAGTGGGGGTGTTGTTGTGGGTAGAGAAAAGGAAAATGCCGCTCTCCGTTATCGTTCTCCTCAAGTAAATGGTGGAGGAACTAGACAAGGAAGGGAGAAAAAGAGGATAATGATTCCTGAATCGTCTACTAAAGAGGAAGAAGAACAAATGGCAGAAATTTCAAAATATCAGCAACAACAATATAGCAACAACTCCAAATACTATCAACAACAAAAAACTTCGCTAGATGAAGAAGAACAACAACAGGATGATGGGTTTTCTTATGATGAACAACAACAAGGAGGGGGAGAATATCAACAATTGAGAGGAATTCAGAGCCAATTAATGATAGCTAAATATGACTATGATTCGAGGCATCTAAGTCCTAATGGTAAAAATTTGTATTAACAAATTGAATAGGTCTGGGGTTCCTGACTGTTCTAATTTTTTGTCTATACCTTCCAGAAACATTCCCTTGGAACTGAAAAATAGTCGTTTTCCCCTACATTCTTTACTATCTTACTTTAAGGACGATTTACCTAAATAGAGCATTTAAAACGCTTAGGCGGGGGTTAAACAATCTAAAAAGGAAAAAGACAGGCTCCGGTAGCTCAGTGGGAGAGCTCCTGTAGTTGGTGATCGAAAGCGCCTAGCAATAACTGCGAGGAGGTCGCAGGTTCGAATCCTGCCCGATGGCTAAACTTTTGCAAACTCTTTCCTTACTTTATTTTTACCAATTTTCTCTTTTTTAGTTGATGCAGAACAAGTTGAATTAAGCTTTCGACAGGGAGATTTGATTACTATTTTTGGGGTAAATTTTAAAAATTATTTTCCCTAAAAAATTTCCCTCATTTTTAAAGCCAATGGATGAAGACGGGTTTTACTTGGGCGAATTAAACGGAATTAGAGGCTTAGTCCCTTCCAATTTCCTACAACCAGCCCCACAAACAACAGAACCTGTACTTCATTCTAGACCTAAAGGGGTTGCTTTCTGTTCTGATTTGAACAATTCTGATTATCAAATGATGGCTAAAACTTCGATTGGGAATAAAAAAGAACAGGGAGGAGGGGGTAGAGGACAACAACAACAACAACAGCCACTTCAAGGAGGGACTGGGGGAACGTCAGTGATTGTGGGAGGAGGAAGAGAAACCTCAGGAAACCTTCCAAGAATAGCTTCCTCCTCAAAAACACTAAACAAAATCCAAATATCTAATCAGCAACAACAACCTTCCGCCCCTATCCCGGCCAAATCTTTGATTAAGAAAAGCTCTGATTTAAGCAACAGAACAATTCAACAACAACCAAATGTTAGAAAAGGCTCTCATGCTGGTGCTAAAGGACCTCATAGTGTTGTTAAGGTGGGTGTATTAGGAATGTTAGGATGTCACCCGGTCTGGGGCCTAGTTCTCTCCACTACAGATTCTGCATTCTGTGCACAGAACACAGATTCTGGGGAAATTCTATTTCTCTTAAATTCTGCTGGCACAGATTCCGGCGCCCGCAAATTCATATTCTGTGGAAAATGCCGCAGATTCTGCGGACGAAAGTTTATGTGGAAAATCGAAATACCGTATTTATTCTAATAAAATGGCCTCTCCAATAGAATGACCCCTTTTTGGGGGTATCGAAGAATAGAATGGCGGCCATTATATTAGAATAAATACAGTATCTGTGGTTCTTTTCACAGAGCCACAGAATTTCTATCTCTGTGGAATAACTATCTTTTTAATTAATACACTTTTTAGAAGAAAGGTACTTGAAAGACAAACACATTCCTTCACTGGAAGCTACTACGTAAGAAGCTAAACAAAAAGTAGAAACACCAAAATCATATCTCTGAACCTTAAATAAACGAATATTTTATACAAAAATTTTCTAAAAATAATTTCTAAATTTTACTTTAACTGATATTAATGTCTACCATTTTTCAATTTTATTTTTCGTTGCTTGCATTTTTCACTTTTTTTTGTTTAAATTTAAAAAGACATGATAAAAATAAAATTTTGTTTAATTTTATTTCCTCTGTTAAAAATAGGGTATCAACCCGACCCCCGAACACCGACGATTTTTTGGCAAAAACCCAGACCCGAACCCCGAAGGCTCCGAAGCAATCCCGACTCCAAAGGGACTAGTTAGTTGCACTTTACGGGTTGTAGCTTTTTACTGAGTTATCAGACTAGGTCTGTCCAGTTGGGGAAAAAGATAGATTTTATCAATAGCTTTCGAATGATATAAGATTTGTGAGAATAATTTAAAAATAAATTTGATTGACGACGTTTCCGTCTTACCAGAACAGAATACTATAAAAGCATCTCATTTCCGGAAACTTCTAACCGGATACTTCTAACAACTTTTCTCGTTCTCTCCATTTCGCGTGCTGTTTTCTCAACTATTTTTCCAAGCTGGTTCTCTTCGATTTTATTGAGCATCTGAGGGATCGGTGTTATAATTGGTGGTATTCTGTTGAAACTGGTAAGGATTTTTTAATTTTCCTCTCAATTTCTTTTAATTTTTACAGCTTCTAGTTCCGATCCGGACTGTTCAACAATGCTGTCTCCTTCGTTTGAATGTGTCTCGGTCAATTCCCAACCAACAGAAAGGGCAAATTCAACCTACATTCAACCTCAACCAACAGCGCTCGTAGAATATGTTATTGGTGGCTTTGAATCCAACGCTGTGAGGGAGTATGAAGTGTCTGAGTATGTGGTGGGACAAGCTGGGAATACTGCAAATAACGACAACACAAGAACGGCAACAACAGCGGTCACAGAAAGCACAACAGCAGTCGCAACAACAACAGCGGTAGCTGTAGCTATTCCAGTGCCTTCAACCAGCAAGCCTTCAACAAGGTTGGTAGAGATCCTTTTCGTTTTAGGGGATTTTCCTTAGTGTCCCCAAAAGTCCGCAAGTTCCAAATAAAAATCCGCAAAAGTCCGCAAAATCAAAATTTTTCTTTTCAGTAATGCAACAACTTCGAGCAGTACCAGACATGGACATCGATCAACTTCGGCACATCCTCATCGCCATTCTCACCGACATTCTTCTCAACGCCGTTCAAGATCAGCAGAAGCTCATAATGCTTCAATATTCTCAACAGCAGAACTAGCCGTAGAAAGTGAAGAAGAACATGAGGAATTGGCCAGACAGGCGGTTATGGTTTTTCCGGAAGTGCCTCCATTTTTGCGTTGTTACTCCATGGAAAAACACCCAAAATTGAGTCGTTCTGCAATTCGGGATGCTGTATATGGTGGAAAGGTAAGGAAAACAGGGAGAACTCGAGATTTCGAGTTTCGTGATTTTTCGAAATTTCGAGTTTCGTAGATTTTGCGAAATTTCGAGTTTCGAAATTTTTGACGAAATTTCGAATTAATTTCGTTTTTCTACAGATTTCACTTCCTCCATCCTTCACACACATTCTGCCGTTTCTCTATGGTCTGTTCAAACTGAAGGTGGTTCAATATAAAATTACTCCTGTGGAACAACCGCTAGTAGGAATTGATCCTTACCCTTCTAAAGTGTACTGTGGTGTGCTGGATTATGAAGCTCCCGAAGATCAATGTTATTTGCCTCCTTGGGTAAGGAGACTTGAATTTTTAATCAAAACTAATTTTTGTTTCGGTCAAATGTCTTTTCAGTCAAATGTCATTTTGGTCAAATGCCCTATTTTTACTCAAAAATTTGTTTTTTTTCACATTTAAGATGATGCGACAATTGAATTTGGATGACGGTTATCCTATCTGGATTGAATATGTAAGACCCGAGCTGAAAACTGCAACTTTTGCAAGATTCAAGCCGATTCTGTCTAAGCGAGTGCTCTCCATTATTAACGACGAAAATATCAAAGAGGTTCGACGTGTGCTTGAAGTGCAGCTGAGTAAATATCAGTGCTTGTCTGTTGGGGATGAAATTGCTATTGAGGTGGGGGGTGTTTTTTGAATTTGGGCGTTTTGAAAATTTGACATTTTGAAAAATGGCCTTATATGTAGAAATGGGCGTTTTGAGAATTGACGTTTTGACGATTAGGCGTTTTGAAGGTTGGGCGTTTTGAAATGTGGGCCTTTTAGTACGGGTGTTTTAGAAATTGGTCGATTTGAAAATTTGACATTCTGAAAAATAGGCGTTTTGAAAGTTGGCACTTTGATAGTTGGCCATTTTGAAAAGTTGACATTTTAACATTTTGGGCGAAAACCCCTTTTTTCAAAAAAATAAAAATTTTCAGTACAACAAGGACGAGATTCGCTTTATTGTTACAGCACTAGAACCAACTACCTCAGCTAAAATTACAAATTGTGATTTGAAGGTGGATTTTGATGATTACAAGCTACTTACAGAAACGGCTATTTTTGTAAGAAAGAAAAAATTTTTTTAATTTTCAAATTTTATTTTTAGGATGAACACAAAATGGAGCCTGAAATTGATGAGGACTACAAGCCTGGACAACTAACATTTATGAGAAGGGAGGGATATAAGGCACATAAATTGGTCAAGGAAATGGAGAAGGTGGGGGGGATTTTGGGGTTATTTTTGGAATTTGACCATTTGAGATTTGACGTTTTGAAGTTTTATTTTTTAGCTCAACAACACTAACGGCCCTAAACCAAAGGACAATGATGTCAAGAAGAGTGGCTTCAGCGGGAAAGGCTTCAAACTTGGAAAGAAGCCAAAATAATAATAATAATTTCTCTCATAATTGTAAATATGTTTTTGTAAATATGTTTTTGTTGTAATTGTTGCTAATTTATTAAACCAAATTTTTGTGTTTTAAAACATGTTTTTAGAGTTCCCTTAGCAATTTACAATTTGTAAGTTTCGAGTTGGGGTTTTACAATTTTCCTTAGTTTTCATTTTCCGGAAGGATTTTACAATTGTAATAATAGTCTTCCTGAATTGTTTTTAAACCTTCCGGAATTGTTTTCCTGAAGTCTAAAAATATAAACACTCGTCAATTTTCCTATGGAATTTTAAGTTTAAACTTGAATTATCGAATTTTCAAGTCTGTAAAAATAAACTTGTTCGAAAAACTTGAGTTTTCAAGTCTGTGAAAAAAAAACTTAAAATATCAAGTTTGTGCTTGAAAACTTGAGTAATTACCCAACTTTAATTCTATAAACTTAAAAACTTAAGTTTTTAAGTTCATAAATTTTATACCTTTAAAATTAAATTAATAACACAGCAAGAATCTCAGATTCAACAATAAAATGCTCAAAAAAATTCAAAAGAAATTCACGTGATTATTCTTTAATTAAGGCGAGATTATAGTTTAATGTCATAAATTTTAAGTAATCAACTTTTATTGCAGAAAATTAAAAGAATGTTTTCCATGCTGAAAAATTCATTGAAAGACCCCTCCAAAATCTTAAGAGTATAAGTATTTACAGGTGAAGTCTGCCTATATATTTTCTTCTAATTGTAAAGAGAAAATAAATTAACTAAAATTATTTAACACAAAATTGTGACTAAATTTTTCTCTAATTTTGTGCGCGAACCATAACAACAACAACTAACAACAACAACAACTTTCCACTTATTTTTAACAAAGAAATTTTAACGCAATTAAATATATTTTCCAACCTTTTTCACAATTTATACACATTTTTCTTTATAAATATTCAATTCGCACTCAAGTGCGTGTCTCCTTTTATTTGAACTAAATTTATATGTTTTTGCCCAATCAATCTTAAAATCATGTTGCAGTGTATTTTAAGGAACATTTCTGGAAAAGATGTGTAATATAAACAAATATATATTTCCGGAATTATATTTAAATGTTTCCGGAAACAGAAGAAATATACATAATTGTCTCTAAATAAGAATTCCGGAAAAGAAATATAGGTATTTTTAGAAGTAATTATGTTTAAATTAATTTTCCGGAAACAAAATAGAAATATATATATTTCCGGAAAAACATGCATAAATAATAGTTATCCGGAAATGTTTCAGAAAACTGAGAAAAACAATGTTTTAATACAACCAAACAAACAAACAATGTTTTCCCGAACAAATGTTTTTAAATAAATGTTCGACAACAAAATAAATATTTTTCCATAAAAACATATATAAAACATAATTCACGAACATGTTTCCGTAATCAAACAAACAATGTTTTTGAACAATGTTTTAAAACAATGTTTTACAGCACAATGTTTTAGCAGGGTTAAAACATTTAAATAAATTTTCCGGAAGCAAAATATAAATATGTATATTTCCGGAAATTATGTGTTTTCCCCAAACAATGTTTTAGCAGAATAATCATGTTCGCCTAAAAATTTCCCCAAATAATTTTCATATTTAAACAAATGTTTTTACATACATTTTGTTTTGCATTAGTAATAAATAGATTTTCTGCTCTGATATTTAATATTAAAGCAGACAAATCCATTTTTATTAGTTTATCTATTTAATTCATTTTTGCCCATTTTTACACTTTTATTTCACTTTTATTTTTTACATTAAAAAAATATTTTTAAAAATACAAATGTGTACTTTTTCCATTTAAAAATTAGCCGATTATTCCACGTGAACACTCTACAGACAAAACGGGGTTATTTGAATTAAAGCGTTCCTCCCTTGATTTTTGAGTAATCTCTTTCCTTCTTCTCCCAAAAATTTTTTCTTTAACTTTCCATGATGCATTTTTTATTTTTAATGTTTTTCCTTATTTTTTTAATGTTTAGCGACCATAAAAATTTTTTGACTTTCTTTTGATTCACACTCTTTTTCTAATCTAAATTTTCTTCTTAAAATTATTGCCAACCCATTGTGTGTATTTTATCAAAAAAATATTAGAAGAGTGCATTAGCGTTGTTCTTTCTATTTAATTTTAAATTTTCCTTATATTTTTTGTTGGTTTTTTATTTTTTTAAGTTAACATTATGTTGTGGAAATAACTTATAATTAGATTAATGTGGAATCTAACTAAAACGACACTCTTGGGACCGAATTTATCTGACGTATGAATAAAAGTTACGTGGTATTGTGGAGGTGTATTAGCAGATTTCACGTATGACTAGCTCTATTATACAGCCTAACCTCATTATAAGAAACCCCCATTAATTAAGATACCATTAAGATACTTTTAAACTTCAATTGGGCATTGACTTGCAGGGCTACCTAACGCTACTCTCTATTTAGGATACACCTCTATTGTAAATATAAATATTTCATTCCTAAGGTCTATCTTAATTGAGGTACATTTCTACTAAATTTGAATCATTTTTATTCTTTTAAACAGTCAATCAAAAATATTATTTTTATCTACAATGGGTTCTACCTCTCAGATTTTTTTATTATTTTTTCCCTTAGAGTACTCTAAATATACAAACAAAAAATATTTTTAAAAGACAAAAATCCATGTATTCCTTTCTTAACAATTTCAAAATAAATTTTTAAAAAATAAGAAAATAAATAAAAGACAGTCCTTTTAAAGAAAAAAAATAAATTTTAGAGGCACTTTAGATGAAGATCTAAATAGTTAAAAATGTGTGTAAGTATTTTTCGCAAATCATTATAGTAAAACTTTAAAAACACCCATTGTTTGTTTATTTGTTCTTTTGTATTTTCTCTTTTTATTTTTTAAATCGCGCACTTTAATTTATCTATTCAACCTGAGAAATTAAAAAAAATATTTTTGATAAAAACATGAATCGAATAAATTTATTTTAAAAATAATTTTCCTGAAATATTAGAATTATTGATGTTTTACGGAAAATCAGAATTATTTAATAATGTATTTTTCCGGAAATAATACAAAATTTGTTCAGATGTTTTATCTTAAAATAGGTTTATTGTGTTTTTCCGGAATATATAGAACTATAATGTTTTCCGGAAACAATATTATGGATATTTTCCGGAAAATAGCACTATGAGTGTTTTCCGGAAAAAATAATATTCATGTTTTCCGGAATATATACATAGAACTATGAATGTTTTCCGGAAATAATATTATGGATATTTTCCGGAAAATAGAATATGAATGTTTTCCGGAAAATATAATAAATGTTTTCCGGAATATATAGAACTATAAATGTTTTCCGGAAAAAATTGTATTCATGTTTTCCGGAATATATACATAGAATTATGAATGTTTTCCGGAAATAATAAATTTTTTGATGTTCTTTCCGGAAAGACACGAATTGTTACCTTTCTCCTACCCGGAAAGTTAGAATTATAAAATAATTAAATGTTTTTTTGTATTTTTTGTTTGATGTTTTGTTCAAATTCCGGAATTGTTTAAATTTGTTTGTTTGTTAAAAAAATGTTTTAAATTCCACAAATAAACTTCTTAATAAAAACAAAACATTAACTTTGCAATAAACAAAAGACAGGCTGTCTTCAATTAGAAAAAGAAAATGTTTTTAATTTGCATTGTCTTTTCTCCAAAAATGGAAAAGTCATCAATACTTTTTTTATAAGGAACGTCTTTCCCGCTTTTGGGTTGCTTAATTTTATATTCACATTTCTTCACTCTTTCTAGGCCCAAAATAATTAATGAAAAAAGCCTCCGAACCTAAAAATATTTTTTTTCTTTTAATTTTATGTCAGTCCTCAGCTGTTTGGGGGGTAATTTTTCATTTCTTTTATTCACATTAAAATCAATTTCATTCCGTTTAAAATTAATTATCATTTAAAAGATGTGAAGGTGAGGAGGGGACAAGAGATAAGCGGCAACAATAATGCATTTGCTTTTTTTTTATTTTTTGTCATTTACACTTTAAGGAACATTTGTTTGATCATGTAAAGCCATTAATTTTGTAAAGCCATTACTTTTATTTAATTGCGTGACTAAATTGTTAGACATTTTTTAAAACAAGTTTGTTTCTGAAACTATAAGGAAGTAATAATATTTTTCCGGAAGAATAGAATATTACATGTTTTTTCCGGAAATATTAAATTTATTTTCTTTCCGGAACTTGTTTTAGCTACGTATATTTATTAACTATTTTTCTTTCCGGAAAAATAATATATATTTCCGGAAGAATAGAATATTACATGTTTTTTCCGGAAATATTAAATTACTTTTCTTTCCGGAAACCTGTGTATTACTTATATATGTACATTATTGATGTTCTTCCGGAAAATTAATTATTTTAGAAGTTATAATTTTCCGGAAAATGTATACTACTATATTTATTATTTTTTTTTCCGGAAAATTAATATAAGTATTTAAAAAACATTGATGTTTTTCCGGAAGATCTAAATGTTTTCTAAATCATAAAATCAATTGTTTTTTTCCGGAAATAGTTTAACTATAATTATGTATTAATTCAATACATTATTAATATTTTTCCGGAAAACTATAATTATCTTAGATGTTTTCCGGAAATATCAGGTTTATTTTCTTTCCGGAAAATGTATTTAATAAACATTGATGTTTTTCCGGAATATCTATTAATTTTCTTTCCGGAAGGATAAGAATATTATACATATTATTGATGTTTTTCCTGAAGAAATTAGATGTTTTGAGTTAGATTAGATATTAGATGTTTTTCTACATATTAAATTTATTAGTTCTTCCGGAAAATGTTTTATAGCTATAATTTTCTTTCCGGAATAATATTATAGTATAATTGATGTTTTTCCGGAAGACTATAATATTTATTAGATGTTTTTCTACATATTAAATTTACTGTTTCTTTCCGGAAAATTCCCATCTAAATTCAAAACTTTAAATATTTAGATAAAATCCATAAAATTTTGAATGGCCAAAAAATGGTTGTCAAGAGCTAGACAAAGTCACGAATTGGTACCAAGCAGCGAAGAGCCCCAACAACAACAGAGCCTTCAACCTACTGAGAATAAAACCTTGAGAGAAGGAACACAAAAAAGTGATGCGAATGGGGATGATGCTTTATTGCACGATTCGCACCCTCAAAAAGGCAAACGAAAACTTTCTGTATTGGGGCATGAACTTTTTGATAGAGGACAGTGGAGTGGTAAAATAAAATTTTGAAAAAAATTTGGATTTAAAAATAATTATCAGGTCAATTTGACTTTCTAATGAGCATGATTGCATATGCTGTTGGATTAGGTACCGAGGAAATAAAAAATAAAATTTAATTAAAAAATAGGCAATGTTTGGCGATTCCCCTATTTATGCTTTAAAAATGGAGGAGGCTCTTTTCTTGTTGTTTATGCCTTGTTTTTTGTATTTGGTGCCGTGCCTATTTTTATTATGGAAGTGACAGTCGGCCAATACTTACAAAGGGGTAAATCTGTCCTCGTATTAAATCGGAATAAGTTTTGATAATTTTAAGGTGCTATGGAAATGTGGAAAATGTGTCCTATTTTTAAAGGTAAAGATAAATATATTGTTTGGAGTGTTATGTTTTCCGGAAAACAACTATTATGTCTTTCCGGAAAGCCACGTATTAATGCTTTTTTCCTGAAAATTAATTGTTTTCCCTTCCGGAAAAACAAATATACAAATATATTATAAAGTGTTTCTTTCCGGAAAAATAATTATTAAATGTTTGTTTCCGGAAAAACAACTACCAAATGTCTCCCTCTCTCTCCTTTCCTGAAAAACATTAAATATTTTTTTCCGGAAAAATAAATAATATTGTTTCTTTTCCGGAAAAACATAGCTGTTAATGTTTTTTCCGGAAAAATACAATTTTTCTATAGGTGTTGGAATCGGCAATGTTGTGATTGCTTTTATGTGTAAGTTTTGTAAGATGTTTTTAATCTTTACATTAATGTTTTCAGGTATTGCCTATTTTTGTGTTATTGTCTCTTGGGCAACTTTTTATATGATTAGTTCATTTAACTCTACATTTCCCTGTAAAATTTATTTTAATTTTCATAAACTTATTCTCTAAAAAGGGGAAACTTGCAACAATTATTGGAATAACGGCCAGTGTGTTACAGGCAAAGAATCCACTTCAGAAATTATGCGGATTACTTCTAATCTTTCCCGCTATGGTTTAAGCATCGAAAGTTCCGTTGAGCAGTATTGGGAGTGAATTTTAAAATTTTTCTTTAGGAGGAAAAATTTTTAAAAATTTTTGAAAAAAATTTTTTTTTGAAAAAAAAAATTTTTTGAAAATTTATGAAAAAAAATTTTTTTGAAAAAAAAATTTTGAAAAAATTTCTGAGAAAAAAAATTTTTTGAAATTTTTTCGACTTAAATTTTTTAAAAATTTTTTTGGAAAAAAAATACTAAAAAAAATTTCCGAGAAAAAAATATTTTTTTAAAGACGCCGTGTTCTCAAACAAACAGCAACAATTTCTGACATTGGAGGTATTCAATGGGAATTGCTTGGATTAATGTTCCTTTCATGGGTGATAGTCTATTTTGCTTTATGGAAGGGGATAACGCAAGCAAGGAAGTTTGTCTATTTCTGTGCGATATTCCCCTATTTTCTTATTGTTGTGTTGCTTATACGAGGACTGACTTTGCCTGGTGCTATGACTGGCATTTCTTTTTATTTGACTCCGAATCTCACAAAATTGACTGAAACTACTGGTTAGGTTTACATATACAGTGTGGAGCTTGTTTATACGTCACCCCTCATACACAAAAATTGACTTTTAAGTAGGGTTGCGCAAGGTCGAGGTTCTTGGCGAAGACCGAGGACCGGTCGAACCGAGACCGGTATTGGAAAATTGGCGAGGACCTCGGTCTCGGCGAGGTGGGATCAGGGTGACCCTTTCCAAACCACTAAAATAGGGCGCAGCCACTGAAAAATGTGGCAAAAATAGGGCGAAAATGGTCAAAAATAGGGCAAAAAATAGGGCATTGCTTTAAATTCATAAAAAATAATTAAAATTATAAGACAAAGCTTTATTCCATATATTTCTCACTAGTTTAAACTAAATTAAGAAATCTGGTTCAGAATTAGGGGTAAATAAGGGATAGACAAACCTAAAGTGTATAACTAGTTTTTGCAATCATATATCGAGCTATCATTAAGAATAGCAGTAGTGTATATCAGGGCTCGCACCGACAAAATCACTGATTCCCAAAATTGGGGATCCTTAGTATGCATAACATTCCCTTAAAGTTGTAAGTTGTCTTTCGGCGCCGCAGGCGAAAATTTTGAGAATTATCGAAGGTCAACGGTCAGATTTCTTCATTTTTCTGCCAGTTCGTTACAAAATACTAAGAATTGTAAACATTTTTCAAAATAGTAAAAATAGGGCAAAAATATGGCAAATGAAAAAATAGGGAAAAAATAGGGCGAAAAGGTCAAAAATAGGGCAAATGCCCTATAAATAGGGTAAAAGGGTCACCCTGGGTGGGATCCCACTTCCAAGTCGGCTGACGTATAAACGAGATCCGACCGTAACTAACCTTCAAAAAATTAATTTTATTAAAGTTTGGAAGGATGCTGGCACTCAAGTATTTTATAGTTATGGAGTTGGCTTTGGAACACTCATTGCACTAGGATCCCACAACAAATTTACTCATAATTGTTATCGGTAGGGGAAATTAATTAATTTTATTTAATTATTGTTTTTCAAGGGATGCTATAGTTATGTGCTTTATTAATGGAATGACCTCAATCCTTGCTGGATTTGCTATTTTCTCAATCCTGGGATTTATGTCGACGGTGGCTGCTAAACCTATAGCAGAGATTGTTAAACCTGGTATGGTTTATAATTAATTAAAATTTAAGCTTGAACTTATTTTTATAAACAAGTTTTCAAGTTTAGGTTAATTCAAGTTTATTTTGTGTTTAAGCTCCTGTTTTTATTTCAAGTTTTAAAGTTTATTTAATCAAGTTGTAAAAACTTAGGTTTATTTAATATTTAATTCAAGTTTATTTTTAAATTTAAGTTTATTTTTATATTTAAGTTTTCAAATTATTATTTTCAAGTTTGTTCTATTTTTAAGTTTACAAACTTAAGTTTATTTAGTTCAAGTTTATTTTTTAAATAAGTTTTATTAAATCTAAACTTAAGTTTGCTCATTAATTCAAGTTTATTTATTAATTCAAGTTTTTAAGTTTGAGCTTATTTTTAAGTTTTCAAGTTTAAGCTTGCTCATTAACTCAGTTTTATTTTTAATTCAAGCTTATTTTTAAAGTAACCCCATTTTTATAGTAGTTCATTATTTTTGTAGGTGTTGGTCTTGCCTTTCTAGCTTACCCAGAAGTGGCAAGCAACTTGCCTTTGAAACAACTATGGGCATTTCTCTTCTTTCTAATGATTACAATTCTAGGCCTGGACAGCCAAGTAATCCTTCCATTCTTTTATTTTTTATTTCGAATTTAAGGTGTGTATGCTCGAAGGTTTATTTACTGCATTAGAAGACACATTCCCTACACTTTTACGAAAATACAAAAAAGTTTTTTCAGAAAAATTTTTTCAAAAAATTTTTTACTTTGAAGATATCCCTCTTACTTACTTGCCTTTTCTTTTTTATAATTGGAATTCCTATGGTCACATATGCCGGTGCTCACTGGCTTACGTTGGTAGATGCATATGGGGCTTCTGGCATTGCTCTACTTTTTGTAGTTTTCTTTGAGGTGGTTGGACTTGCCTGGGGATTTGGTGAGAAAATATCTTATAGTTGTGTTATTGTTTTCTGCAACCAAAGATTTAGTGTTCTTTCCGGAAAACTATTTTCTTCCCAAAATATAAAATGTTTTCCGGAAAATAATAATAGCTGTTTTTTCCGGTAAACATAATTTTTCATTCCGGCAAAATTGTTTCTTTTCGTGTTTCTCCGGAAACTAATTTTAATTCCTTTCCGGAATATTATTAAATAACTTTTTCCGTAACTTTTTCCGGAAAGCAGAGTTGGTTTTATTTCCTGAAAAATGAATATTATTATATATTCCTTCCGGAAAATACATAATGGAACTTTCCGGAAACCCGATATTAACTTATTTTTTTGTTCCTTTCCGGAATAATCAATAAGTTTTCCGGAAAAAATGTTTTCCGGAAAACAAACAATAATATTTGCTATGTTTATTTTGTTAGGTACTCATCGCGTCCGGAAAGCTCTAAAAGAGATGGTTGGCTTTTATCCACTATCTTGCTTCAATATTCTATGGAAGTATACTGCTCCGCTTAGTGCTCTCGTAATATTTTTAAAACACCCCTCACATTTCTTTAAATCTATTTTAGATCCTCTTTGTCTGTTGTCTTGTAATGTACGAACCTTTGCGTTACCCTACTGGAAAGAATTATCCTTATTGGGCAGAAGCTTTTGGCTTTTGCCTTTCTGCGTGTTCCATGGTTGTTATTCCTGGCTATGCTTTATATTATATTTTCCATAGAGGGGATAATCTGACACCTTTAGAGGTGAATTTATTTTTTAAAGGGGTCCAAGACTATTAATATTTCAGAGGTTTCGCCGTGGAATCCATCCTCCCAATGAACTGGAAATTACAGCCCATAGGAGCGGTCATAACGACGAGGAACTCGAATTTATAGATAAGCCTAGAACGCCGAAGGGCGTCTCGAGTGTTGGCGTTTAATTGTGATTAATAAATTCTTTTTTTTATTTTATTGGTAATTCTCCTCAATTTTGGTGCTAAAATTAAAAAAAATATTTAGGAAAAGGTCTTAAAACTAATGTTTGGAAAACCCAAAAATTGAGGAAATTTTTAATTAATGCCGAATGATGATCTTATCTTCGTCACAAATGCCTCTAATAATCTCTTAAAATTATTTTAATCTTCCTTAATTTGTATTCACTTAATAATCATTATTTTCCCCCAAATTCATTTTATAAATGGTTGCTTTATATTAAGGATTTAATTAGTAGGGTATTAATTGTTTCATTTAGATTTTAAAATGGCGAGGGGTTTAGAAATAAAATCCGGAATAAATTATATGTGTTTTCCGGAAAAACATTTTATTGTTATTCCGTAAAGATTTAATTGTGTTTTCAGGAAAAACAAATAATTTTAAATGTTTAATAAAACGTGTGTTTCAAAACATGTGTTTTTTCCGGAAGGAAACATTTTATTGTATATATATTTCCGGAAAACAAATATTAATTGTATTTTCCGGAAGAGTAAATAATTTTAAATGTTTCTTTCCGGAAGAACAAATAATATATTAAAAGTATTTCCGGAAAACAAATAATTTAAAATGTTTTCCGGAAAAACATATAATATTAAATGTTTCTTTCCGGAAAACATTTAATATTAGATGTTTTTCCGGAAAACAAATAATATTACATGTTTTCCGGAAAACAAATGTTTCCGGAAAAACATCTAGTATTAAATGTTTTCCGGAAAACATATAATACATTATTATAAATGTTTTTCCGGAAAAAATTAATAAACAAAACGTGTTTTAATAAATCCTTAATAAAATAAACATGCAATGTAATTTACTCCCAACAAAACATCAAATAAAACATTTACCTTTTTATTGGATAAATTCTTTAAATGTTTTTACAAAACTGTTTTTAAATACTATAAAAACCCAACATTTCATCCCAACATTTTCATTTAATTCAAACATCGTCCAAACAAGTTTATTTTTCTTCTTCTCAAACATTTAGAAGGATGTCTTTAATTACCGAACTTGAGCACATTTTGATTGCTATTATTGTCTTAAATCTAGTTTCTTCAGTTGTTATTGTTGCTTTGTCCTATTATCTTTACAAGAAGATTTGTGAAGCTAAGGTGTTTCTCTTAGATTTGTTTCAAATTTTTTTTCTTTTTTCAGGCACCATTAGAACAAATAGCCAAATGTTTGCATTCAAGTATTTTGCCGTTCTACTTTGCTTATACTCCAATTGTTGTATATGTTGTTATTGCATTCCAATATGGTCACAAACTTGATGAAGTCTGTTTTTCCTTTGATTTTAAGTAAAAGACAAAGTTTTCGACAGACAAATTTTAATTTAAAAAAGACTTAAAACCCCCAAAAAATCACTATCTGATTTAACCAGAGGCAGGAATGGGTTTCAGTCGTTCCCAGGTTTCCCAGTATTTTTCTCGGTGGGCGAAACCGGAATTTTGAAGTGCCAATTTTTCATGTCTGGGTTCTTCCCTAATTTGTTTCCTTTGAGCTGTAGGTCCTTCAAAGGTATCGTTATTCTGAAGAGATGACATATAGCAGTGTTCAAGCCGACCCGATTCCCTAAAATAGAGAATCCCCGTCGTTTTTTTTAGTTGGGATCTTGATTTCTCGTTAGGGGTAAATGTCCAGTTGGCTGTCTACCTGTCCGCAAAGAGAATCCGCTCTTTTCTTTCCTTTTCTTGCATTTTTTGCGTTGAGAGAATTGCACCCTCATGTTTCCCTTTTCAGCAAATTTCATTCTCAATACAGTATGTTTTCCTTTTCCTACTTGCAAAAATAAAAATAATACCTCGAATTTTAAAAAATATATTTATTTTACAAATAATTTAAATATTTTTTAAAAGTATAATTTGGATTAGTGTTGGTCAAATGCGATTTTGCGGTATCGGTAGTCGGTAATTATTCGAAAATGGACAAAAATTATTAAATATAAAAATGGCTTATCCAAATTAGAGTTGGTCGCGGTACCGTATTACCGCGGTATTTTTCGTTAATACCGCGGTATTTTTACCGAAATACCAATACCGCCTCAATCAAAAATACCGCGGTATTTTGCGGTATCGGTATTTTACCGAACTACCGACTACCGATACCGCAAAATCGCATTTGACCAACACTAATCCAAATTATACTTTTAAAAAATATTTAAATTATTTGTAAAATAAATATATTTTTTAAAATTCGAGGTATTATTTTTATTTTTGCAAGTAGGAAAAGGAAAACATACTGTATTGAGAATGAAAATTGCTGAAAAGGGAAAAATGAGGGTGCAATTCTCTCAACGCAAAAAATGCAAGAAAAGGAAAGAAAAGAGCGGATTCTCTTTGCGGACAGGTAGACAGCCGACTGGACATTTGCCCTCGTTAGGAAATTTTATTCTTAATGTCCCTACTATACATATATAATTTAAAATTTAGAAATTAAATTTAAATTTTATTAAACTACCTAATTTAAAATCTTCAAATAATTTTAATTATTTTTTCAGATAAAGTCGATATATCAACAATCAAAAAATGATCGAAAAAACTTTGTGATGGAAAACTTTGGAAATGATTCAATTTCTAAAGAGTTTTGCAACGAATTTGGAAGCCTTTTTCTCAAGTATGGGTTTGATGGTGAAAGGATTTTGTCCAATGAATAAATTAATTAATTGGTGTAAAATTATTTTTAAAATTGTTTTTATTTCCGGTTTTTTTCAATAAATACAAAATTAATTTAAAGCGCTTATTTTATTCGTGCCAGCACCGCCCTACAAAATTCCAGACGGTGTTAGAGTGTAATGCACAGACGGTATTTTTTTCAGGCGGTGTTTTGCCCTTCCTCTTTTATTTTGATTGTACATGTAGATTTTTAGGAGTAGAAGAACGTCCTTTTGCAGTTTATTTTTGTCTGCTAATAATCCCTTCCACGGGCATTTCCATGTCAGTCTTAATAAATTAAATGTAGTATGCTTTTTAACAAGCAGAAGTATTCCAAAGATCTATAAAATATTTCACTAAATATTTTTACAATTTGATTTTCACAACTAACAAAATTTTGCAATTTTAAAACCTTTTTTGCAACAATTAAAACTCGAATTTACCAACCTTGTTTTACAATTCCTTAAATTAAGTTTTACAATTTCTTTAAAAAATTAAAACTTGTTTTTAACTCTCTTTAAATTTAAAAATAAGTACAAAAACTTACAATTTCATAAACTTTACAACAATTGTAAAATCTGTTTTATGTTTTACAATTCCTTAAACAAGTTTTACAATTTTAATTATAAACATTTAAGTTTTTAAAAACATTGTTAATCAAACATGTTTTACAATTCGTTAAATTAATACAAGTTTTACAATTTTCGCAACATTTCTAAAAGTCTAAAACTTGTTTTACAATTGTTTAAAGAACAGGTTTTACAATTTTACTTTATAAACATTATATGTATTTTCAAAAACATTGTCAATCAAACATGTTTTACAATTCACATATATTTTCATGTTCATTCCAAATATGTAAAAGAATGTATAAATTATTTTCAAAAAACATTATCCATAGCTGCTTATTAAAGCTTTATTTAATGTATCATCTTCCTTTCTCAATTTCCCCCTTTTTATTCACACTTTTATATACAAATGTCCACAAATATTATAAAAGTAGTAGCTTATATTTTTTCTTTTTTGTATCCCCAAGAGAGCCATTATTTTTAGTGACAGTTATTCTCTTCCTTCTATTCTCTACTTTCTCGACACTTTCCAAAAGGTCACCATTTGGCCATTAGCTTCGATTTCCTTTTACTAGTCTTGGCTTATAAACTCTTGGGAGGAAAACATTTTTTTCTCTAACTGACATTTTGTGTCTTTTTCTTATTTTAAGCCTTAGCCGTATCCGCTTTCCATTTCCTCAACATAATGTCAATGTGTCAAAATGTCCATAACGGTAAAATAGTACATAATGTCTATAGGACAATAAGTCTACTAGTAAAAAATTTTATAAAATGTCAATTCGACAAAATGCCCATAAAGAGAAAAATTTCCATTTTGTCTACTACCATTTTGACAAATTCACGTCTACTGGCATTTTGTAAACCAGCTTTAATTTTCTTTTTTTGCCTCGTTTTCCAAGCGTGTCCGGACAAAATATCGAATCGTTAAAATATGGAATAGGCTAAAAAAGGGTTAAAATCTCGAATCGGGTAAAAAGGGGTTAAAATCGCGAATAGGCTAAAAAGGGGTTAAAATGTGGAATCGTTAAAATATGGAATGGTTAAAATATCGAATAGGCTAAAAAAGGGTTAAAATATGGAATCGTTAAAATATGGAATGGTAAAAATGTCGACACGGCCAAAATCGATCAAAATGTCGAATTTTTTAAAAATGGCGCCAAAACTAGAATCCGGGCGTTACCGGGTGTTACCGACGGTATTTTTCGATATTCCGTGTCGGTAGTACGGTACGGAATCCGACCGATAAAATTTAAAAGCTGATCGTTATTTTTCGGTATTTCGTACCGTATACGGTAAGGTCAAACTTTAGGTCTTAACTAAAAACTAATGCACACCACTCTAATTTTTCCATATCAGGATCGCGTTATGTTTTCCGGATCCGTACGATCATGCCGGACCGGATCCGGTCGATTATGCTTGATTTATCCGGTCCGGTTTTACTCGGTAAAATACAATGAACTCTGGCAGAAAAGATTGCGCCGGACTACGACATAAGAGACTTATCAATCAACTTATCATTAATAAGTTGATAAGTTGATAAAATCATCTACAATCAACGTATGGCACTCATCTGACCCTTTTTTAAAAGAATTCGACATTTTGACAGATTTTGGCCGTGTCGACATTTTTACCATTCCATATTTTAACGATTCCATATTTTAACCCTTTTTTACCCGATTCGATATTTTAACGTTTCCATATTTTAACGATTCGGTATTTTAACCCCTTTTTAGCCTATTCGCGATTTTAACCATTCCATATTTTAACGATTCCATATCGTGCCCGCTCAACTCATCGAATCCTTAACTCATCGAATCGACCAAAAACGCTCAACTCATCGAATCGGCTAAAATTCCTCAACTCATAGAATCGGCCAAAAACACTCAACTCATCGAATCCTTAACTCATCGAATCCTCAACTCATCGAATCGGCCAAAAACGATCAACTCATCGAATTTTTCCAAAAGGGGACGTTTGAGTCCCCTGTTTTTATTTTTCTCCCGAAAGGGCTAACTGAATCTTCGTTGAAAAAATTTTTTGCTGCTATGGAGGCTAGGAAAAAGGGCTTTTGGGCATAATCGGGGTCTACTGGACTAATTTGGTCCGGTTTTACCCGGTAAAATCTCCAGCATAATTTATTAGGAATGAGATAATGTTTTCAGGAATGAGATAATGTTCTGATAATGTTTTCACTGGCCGGATAAACTTGGATGAGTGCCCGATCAACTAATTAACAAAATTAGTTGAAACCCCAGAAGAAAACAAAAAAAAATAAACAAAACAATAAAAAATCTAAAAAATAAACACGGGGACTCAAACGTCCCCTTTTGGAAAAATTCGATGAGTTGATCGTTTTTGGTCGATTCGATGAGTTGAGGATTCGATGAGTTAAGGATTCGATGAGTTGAGTGTTTTTGGCCGATTCGATGAGTTGAGGATTCGATGAGTTAAGGATTCGATGAGTTGTAGGGTAGCCTTCCATATTTTGTACCTGAGCCTTTCCAAGTTAGAAACACATTCTTTCTCTTTTTTCTCGTTACTTCTACTTTCTCTCTCTCTCAACTTCTCGACTTATATATATCCATCAACTCTTCCATGTCAAGAACTTTATTTGCGTGCCGCAAACTAGAGTAGAGTAATATATTTGAGTGTAAGGCAATTGCCCTCAAAGGCAAGAATATTCTATATATATTCTTTTTCCTTTCAATTTTTTACCTCATCATCAGCACCTCCGTTATATCCGCCGACTTCTTTTTTTTCTTCCTCACTCAATCAATCCAGAGAGCCTCATATAGCCTCTTTCCTGTTAATTTTTCTTTTTAAAATTTTTCCCAAAAATGTCCCCAAATTTGTTCAATTTTTTTTCTTTTCTTTTTACAATGTTACTACCTTCAACAAACTTGAAATGCGCTAATTCCTCTTCTTTTTTACAACAATTATTATTTTTTTGCCTCTTTTGTGTTTCTTTTTATTTGTGTGTTTTTGTACAAACTTTCTTTTATTAAAACAAACATGGATTATTTAAACCCATGTTTGTTTTAATAAAAGAAAGTTTGTAAAACATCTGTTTGAATAAATTTGTAAAACTTTTTACAATTTGCGAATTGTAAAAGGTTAGTTTATTCAAAAGGATGTTTTCAAAATTCAACTTTTTTGCAGTTTACAAAATCAACCTTTTACAATTTGTAACAAGTTTTATTTTTACAATTTGTAAAAAAAGGTTTGTTTTAACTTATTCTAAAAACTTACAAATTGTAAAAAGTTTTATTTTCTCTTTTTTACAAATACGAGCTTAATTTATGTTTGGTATATTACACAATTCATGGATAAAACAAATTATTACCTTCTAAACAGTTTATTATTAAATCCGTTACCTGCGCGATTTTCTACTAGGTACTACATATTTACCTTGACTCTTTTAATTACTTTTTAATATTTACATACACTTTTGTTCATATTTTTTTGAAAGAGACAGACTTTAATAATAAAAAGAGGATTTTGATGTTTTATTATATTTTTTATTAAATAAAGTAAGCTAACTATTTTTTGATGCAGTATAAAACAAGTTCAAGTTTAGGACAACTTTGTTTTTACAATAAAAACATTTAAAACTTACCTTTATAGATTGTTTTACAATCTTTAAGTATTATTTGTTGAAACTTTGTTTTCCACTTTTTTTACAATTAGAAATTGTAAAAACAAAGTTGTAAAAACAAGTTGCAAAAAATCCATTTTACAACTTTGTTTTGCAACTTGCTTTACAACTTTGTTTTACAATTAAAAGAAAGTTGTAAAAACAAAGTTGTAAAAAATCCAGTTTACATACAACTTGTTTTACAATTTTTTAAAACGTTGTTTTACAACTTGTTTTACAATTAAAAGAAAGTTGAAAACAATGTTTTTTACAAATTACAATTTTCTTTTAAAATTTGTAAAGATTAAGTTTATTTTTTCCTTTACATTTTAAACATGTTTGCAAACTTGATAGCGTTGTAAGTTTGTAAAACATTTGTGTTTTACAATGTTTATATTTTTGCACACCCATGTGTGAATATTTAATGTTATTCTTTATCCATTGCCATTCTCATTCAATTTTCTACTATTTTTAGCTGCCATAAGAAGCCGGAAAGGCAGTCGCTAATCAATTTTAATTGTAATGATTGTGTGTGTCAAAGGATAAAAATAAACAACAAATAAATAAAAAAAAATTTATTAAAAAATATTTCCCCCTTTTTCTCCTCTATTTTTCAATTTTTTCAAACAATTCGGGGGAGCACTAATATTATGACTGTTATATTTTTTTTGATTGACTAAACTGATTTAAAATTGAATGACTGACTACCCTACTAATTTTTGAGCGACTTTAAAATTTTCTTTATTGTTCTTATAATCATCAAATAATATTTTTTTATCGTTCAATCATCTCAAATAAATATTTTTTATTAAAACAACGAAAAAAACAACAAAAAATCCTCTTTTTAAATTAAAATTTAATTGATCTCCTTTTTGCTCAAAGCGGCATTATATTAAAAAATTAAATAATTTAATTAAATAAACCTCAAAAATGGCCGATTTAGAGGCTGTTTTGGCCGACGTTTCTTATTTAATGGCTATGGAGAAGAGTAGAAGTCAGCCGGTTAGTCCCAGTTTTTGTTTAAGAATTAATTGTAAAATGATGAAAATTAAAATGATGAAATGTAAAAATAACCAAAAAAAATATTTTAGGCTGCCCGCGCCTCAAAGAAAATTGTTCTTCCAGATCCCAGGTCTTTTTGTGTTTTTAAATCAAAAGTCAGGTTGTGCGCAAAAACAACAAAAAACATTGTTTTATAAACACTGTTTAAAACATTTGTAAAATTAAAAATTTAAATGAATATAAAAATAAAATTGTAAAACAAGTTTTACAACTATAAAACAAACGAACTTTGTTTTTTAAAACTTAGTAATACTATGTTTTACAACCTATACCAATTTTACAATTATATTAGAATTGAATGTTTTAATAATAAACTTGTTTGCGTACAACAAGAAAATTGTAAAACAAAGTTTTAAAACTATAAAACAAACAAACTTTGTTTTACAACTTTGTTTACAACTTTTTTTCAACATTGTTTACAACTTTGTTTTACAATTGATTCTTAATAAAACTTGTTTTGCAATTCCCTTGTTTATTCAAGTTTTATTTAAACTTAATTTTACTACGTTTGTAAAAAAAGTTGTAAAACCTGTAAACAAAATTGTAAAACAAAGTTTGTACTTCATATAAACAAGAGAGTTGTAAAACAAGTTTTAAAATTATAAACAATGTTTTTGCGCACAATTAAAAAATTATTTTTATTTTACAAAATGCGTTTAAATTTAAAGTGTTCGGAGTATAATGCAAAAATATCTGGAGAAGACAGGGGAGATTCGTTTTGAAAAAATATTTTCGCAGCGACTCGGGTTTTTACTCCTCAAAGATTTTGCTGAAAATGTTGCAGAAACATCATGCCCCCAAATAAAATTTTATGAGGCGATTAAAGAATATGAAAAATTGGAAACGCCTGAAGAGAGACTGACTAAAGCGAGGGAGATTTATGATCACCATATTATGGTTGAATTTAAAGAAAATTTTTTTGTAGAAAATTTTTTTCTGTTTTAAGGTGGAAATGCTAGCACATTCACATGTTAGTTTCTAAAAACATTTGGTCAATTAATTGTTTTGACCAATTAATTGTTCGAAAAAAACAATTAATTGGTCGATTAATTGTTTTTAAGAACTACACAAAAGAAAGCTTACAACACGTCCAAAGGCATTTAATGAAGAATAATGTCCCGCCTGACCTCTTCCAGCCTTATGTGATGGAAATATGCGATCAATTGAAAGAAGATATTTTCCCCAAGTTTTTGGAAAGTGACAAATTCACAAGATTTTGTCAATGGAAAAATCTTGAATTAAATATGAACTTGACAATGAATGACTTTTCTGGTGGGGAATTTTTGTGTTTTACAATTTTTGTTTTGTATGAACTTTGTAAAACAAGTTTTTTTTACAAATCCTAAGTTTATTTTGTTTTTACAACTTGTTTCCAACAAAATTGTAAAAATATTGTTAAAACATTTTGTAAAACAAGTTTTATTTACATTTGTAAAATAAGCTTAAAACATTTTTTACAATTTGTTTTTACAATTTGTAAAATAAACTTTAAACCTTTTATTTAACAAATTCCTTTTTGTTTTACAAATTGTAAAACAAATAAGAATTTGTAAAATAAAGTTTCCTGTTCAATCAAGTTTCCTAGTAAAAACATTGTAAAACAAGTTTTATTTACAATTTGTAAAATAGGCTTGATTTTGTTTTTACAATTTGTATCAAAGACAATGAAATTTATTCCTTTTACTATTATGAAATTTTATTTTATATTTCTAGTTCACCGTATAATCGGACGGGGCGGTTTCGGTGAAGTCTACGGGTGCAGAAAAGCAGATACTGGGTTCATATTTTCTCTTTTTAATAAACCAACTCTAATTAAAATTAAAGCAAAATGTATGCAATGAAGTGCCTGGACAAGAAAAGAATTAAATTAAAACAGGGAGAAACACTAGCTTTAAATGAAAGTTGGAGAAAAAAATTATTTTTAATTAATTAATTAAACAAATTTCAGGAATAATGCTCAGTTTGGTTAGCACAGGAGTAAGTTTATTCTTGTAAAATATTTTTAGAATTTATTTTACAATTTGTAAATTTTATTATTTTAGCAAGACTGTCCTTTCATTGTTAGCATGTCCTACGCCTTTCAAGTTGGTTTTTTTACAATTACAATTTTATTATAATTTACAACTTTTTACAAATTGTAAAAACAATTTTTAAAACTTGTTTAATTAAGTTTTTATACATATTGTTTAAGAGTTGTAAACAAGTTTATTTTGTAGCAAGTTCGTGAACAAGTTGTAAAAACATTTTTATCAAAACTTTGTTTAGTAATCTTACAACTTGTTTTTTTTTGCAACATTAAACTTGTTTTTCAATTTTAATATTAAAACATGTTTTACAATCTTGAACATTGTTTTTACGCTGTGATTGGAAATTGTAAAAAATTTTACCATAATGTTTAAAATTGTAAAACATGTTTTAATATTAAGTTTGTAAAAAACAAGTTGTAAATTTACCAAACAAAGTTTTTGTTCTGCCTATTGTAAAGCATAATTTACCGTGAAGTGCATTTTTAATTAATTTTAAATCTTTTTTAGACGCCAGACAAACTTTGCTTTATTTTGGATTTAATGAATGGAGGCGATTTGCATTATCATCTTTCTCAACACGGGGTTTTTAGTGAATCAGAGGTTATTTTTTATGCAGCCGAAGTTATCCTTGGCCTTGAACATATGCATAATAGGTAATAAATAATTAATTAAATAAAAATTAAATTTTAATTTTTAGAACAGTCGTCTACAGGGATTTAAAACCAGCAAATATACTTTTGGACGAGAATGGTCATGTTAGGGTGAGTAAAGTTTTAAAAGTTTTGTTTTTGTTTGTTTTCAACAAGTTGCAAAAAATATTGATCAAAACATTTAACAAAACAAGTTTTATTTCAAGTTCCAAAACTTGGAAAAAAAATGAAACTTGTTTGTAAAACATGTTTTTAATGTTTTTTTATGTTTTTGTAAAACAAGTTTTAATAGGTGGTGTTTTTAAAGTTTCCAACTTTCTTTACAATTTGTAAAACAAATTTTAATTAAAATTTTGTTCGGAAACAACATTGTAAAACTTTGTTTTTAAGTCTATTTTTTGTTTGTTTCCAAGTTTAAAAATTTGTTTAAAACATTTTTACAAAACAAGTTTATTTTTTAAAAACAAGTTTATTTAAAGTTGCAAAACAAGTTTATTTAAAGTTGCAGAACTTGTTTTTCCAACTTGTTTATAGTTTTTACAAATTGTAAATTGTAAAAACATTGTTTCGATTTATTTTAAAAACAAATTGTAAAACTTCTATTTTTAAATGTTTTACAATTTTCTTCCTTTTTAACAGGTCAGCGACTTAGGTTTAGCCTGTGACTACTCTAAAAAGAAACCTCACGCAAGTGTTGGCACCCACGGCTATATGGTAAATTTTATTATTACCAACAAACAATTTGTCACGTTATTTAAGGCCCCAGAAGTTCTTGCAAAAGGAGTAGCTTACGACTCGTAAATATTTTTTATTTATTAAAAACTTTTTTTTGTTTAGTTCCGCAGATTGGTTCTCCTTTGGTTGTATGTTATATAAACTACTTAAAGGGCACAGCCCTTTCCGGCAGCACAACAAAGGCAAAAAACATTCTCAAGACAAAAATGAGATTGATAAAATAACGTTAACACAAGACATTGAATTGCCTGATCAAGGCTTTTCTCCTGAATGCAGAAATCTTTTGGAAGGATTGTTGAAGAGAGATGTACAAGAAAGGCTTGGTTGTAAGGGGAAAGGGTAGGGAAGATTTTTAAAAAATTAAAAAAAAAATATTTTTTTAAAGAGCAGAAGAGATAAAAACTCATCCTTTCTTTCGTGGAGTTGACTGGCAAGTTGTTTACCTCCGGAGAATGGCTCCTCCCCTAATTCCGCCTAGGTAAGAAAAAAATAAAACTTGAATTAATCAAAATAAAATTTTAGAGGTGAAGTTAATGCTGCCGATGCTTTTGACATTGGCAACTTTGATGATGACGAGGTTTGTAAAAAATTTACAAATTGTAAAAATAAATTACAAATTGTAAAAAATTAAATTTACAAATTGTAAAAAAAATTACAAATTGTAAAACAAAAATTACAAATTGTAAAAAAAATTACAAATTGTAAAACAAAAATTACAAATTGTAAAAAGAATTACAAATTGTAAAAAAATATAAATTTAAAAATTACAAATAAATTACAAATTGTAAAAAAATTACAAATTGTAAAAAGAACTGCAAATTGTAAAAATTACACATTATAAGAGAATTACAAATTGTAATTTAAGGTTAAAGGCGTCAAGTTGGCAGATGCAGATAGCGAACTTTACAAAAACTTCAATATTATAATATCAGAACGGTGGCAGAATGAAATTGCAGAAACTGTTTTTGATGTTGTAAATCAAGATGCGGATAAAAGTGAACAAAAGAAGAGGGCAAAGCTTAAAACAAGGATAGCAGTTGATGAAAAAGGTGAGTTGGAAAAATGTTGGGGAAAAGTTGAAATTGTAAAACAAAGTTTTAGATTTTGTAAAATTGTAAAACATTTGTAAAACTTTGTTTTAACAGTTATAAAACTAAGTTGTAAAACAAACATTTGTAAAATTTGTTTTAAACTTTATTTGAACAAGTTTTAAAAACTTATTGTAAAACAAGTTTTATTTTAAAACTTTGTTTCAACTTGTTTATAGTTTTTACAAATTGTAAAAACAATGTTTCGATTTATTTTAAAAACAAATTGTAAAACTTTTCTATCTTTAGATGTTTTACAATCTCTCAACAAAGTTTAAAAATATAACAAATTGTAAAACAAAGTTGTAAAGTTTCAGCTTATTGTAAAACAAGTTTTATTTTAAAACTTTGTTTTAATTTGTAAAACTAAGTTGTAAAACAAAGTTTTCCATTGTTTTAAATTTTACAAAACTTCAAAATTTTAAACCTTTGTAAAACAATGTTTTAATTTAAAAAGGCGAGACTGATTTGTACATCCATGGATATATCAAAAAACTTGGTGGTCCTTTTACTTCTGCCTGGCAGATAAAATATGGAAAGCTTTACCCCAGCCGTTTGGAGCTTTACCCGGAGTCATTAAGTGGAAAACCTGAGGTATCTCTTAACCCTAGTTTTCACAATTTTCTTCATTTTTTCAGTTACTTTTTATGGACCAAATTGACGAAGTGACTTCCGATCTTCAACAAGTAAAAGGAGAATCAGCGATTGTAGTTAAATTAAAAGAAGGATTGAAAGAGAACCGAGTTATTCTAACCAATCAAGATGAAATTTCTCTCAAGGAATGGCACACTTCCCTTAGAACTGTTTCTTTTTTCTTCTAAATTTTCTTATAATTTTTTAATTTAAAGGCTCATCGGGTCTCACAAGAATTGCTTCAAAGAATGGGAAGGAAAGCTATTAAAATTTACGGGGTTAATCATGACCCAATGCTTCAGGAAAGTGAAAGGCCTGGATCCGTTACGAGGGCAATTCTCAATAGGGCGTCTTCAACTGATTCTGGAATTTAAATAAAATAAACTTATTTTACAATTTTCAAATTAATTGTTTTTAATTACAAATTTCAAGTTCTTGTGTTTTCTTAAAAACAATGTTTTTACAAAAATTGAAAAACATGGATATTTTGTAAAACACATTTAAAAAATAAACTTGTTTTACAACAAGTTTTATTATAAAAACATAAAAACATTGATAAAAACATTAAAAACATGTTTTGTAGAAAAACATGTTTTACAAACAAGTTGTTTTACTGTTTTGCAATGTTTTTAAAAAGCTACACCTTTTTTATTTTGTAAAAACTTGGTTTTTACGAATAAGTTGTTTAAGTTCAAGTTTTAGTGTTTTGAAAACATTTGTAAAACAAGTTTCATTTTACTAGCATTGTTTTAATGTTTGTTTAACAAGTTGTAAAACAAGTTTATTTGTTTGTCAAATATTGTTTTAATGTTTTACAAATGTTTTTTTAATATAAAACAAGTTAAAACCTTGTTTTTTTTGTTTGTAGAAGCATTTACAGAACAAACATTCTTTTTAAAACAACTACAAACTTAAAACAAAGTTGTAAAACATGTTTTAAATAGAAAATACAATTTGTATAAAATACCTTAAACATTTTTTTCATTCATTCTAGTCAAAAAATCATTTTTTCTTTTTAAATTGCATTTTTAATTTTTTATTTTTGTGCCCCCAACAATCATATCACCCCCTCCCCTCTTCTCTCATTTTCAAAAAAAAATATTTTTTAGTCACATGTTTTGTTCATTTTACTTGCCATTATCAATTCTTTTATCGGCAACTTCTACTTCTCAAAAAAACGAAAAAAGAAACCAATTTTTGTTCTCTTCTCTACTTTTTACTTTTTTTTTGTTATTTTAAAAATTGTTTTATTTCCTGATTTGGCAACATTTTTTTAAAATAAATTTTAATTGTTTTTCTATTTGTTTAATAACTTTTGAACCAAACAAGTTGTAAAACTTGTGTGTTTTAAAAAAAGTTTTAAAACATGTTTAAAAAAAGTTGGAAACTTGGAATTAAAGTTTTAAGGTTGGACAAAGGAATTGTAAACATAAAGGAAAACAAAACAATTGTAAAAAAAGTTTTGTTTATTTTTAAAAATATGCAAATTTTTATAAAAACAAAAGGGAAAACTTTTTTTACAATTGCTTTGTTTTCCTTATTTAAATATGTTTTCTAATTTTGGCAACATTATTTAAATAAACAAAATATTTAATAAATTTAGCTAGGTAGTTAAATTTACAAAAGAAAGCTGTTTTCATCAATTTTGCAAATTTCTAAAACTTATAGAAATTTAATTTTAAACATGCAAAATTCCCCAGAAGGATTTTCAAGCATGTTTTTCCTATAGATTAATTTAAAGGATTTACTATTTTGCATTAGGATTTCACTTATAATGAGAAGAATCCTCTCTGGTTTGTTTTTATTTTTAATAAAAACAGCTTGTTTTTATTGGATTTTTTCTCATTTCTAAATTAATAATATGCTTTTTAAGATTTTTTGTCAAACATATTTTTTACATTATTTTACAATTCATAAGAAGCATTAAGTTTTACAACTAAGTTTTATAACTAGTAATTTCCGCCTGTTTTCACAACTTGGTTCTATAACTGCAAGTTTTACAAATAATATTACAACTAGGTTTTCTACATATGTTTTACAACTATGTTTTAGATTATGTTTTGCAACCTTTTTTACAACTTAGTTTTTACAATTCAAGTTTTACAATTCATTTTTACAATTAAGTTTTAAAACCAAGTTTTACAAGTTTTTTTACAGCTTAGTCTTACAACTTTGTTTTACAATTGCAAGTTTTACAAATTGTAAAACTTAAATTGTAAAACTAGGTTGTAAAAAAGGTTGTAAAACTTTATTTTAAAACTTAATTGTAAAAATTAAGATTTACAATTAATTTTATTCTTTCGAACTTTGTTTTACAATACTACTATAAAACACAAATATTCGTCATAATTTACAAACTTAAATACTAAAGTACAATCTTATTATATTTCTATTTTTTATTCTTTTAAAAATCGGAAGTATGCTCTCCTCTATTTACAATTTCATTTTTTCCCCAAAAATAACAATACCTCAAAAATAGTTATATGGCCTTTTTTTACTTTTATCTAAAATGTCATCAGTACATGCTAGCACGTCATTATGAAAAAGCACTCCTTTTTCCTTAACATTTTTTTTCTTCGTTTACATGGTTCCCGATAAGCATTTAAAAAGAGTAACGTCCATTTTTCCTTCATTTTAAGCCTTAAATACAAGTGTGGCATTGTAGAGAGTCGACTGATGAGCGGCAGCTTTTCTAATGCTAATACCCAATATATAAAAATGCCTGCCTGTTCTCTCATTTTTTTCTATTTTCTCTTATTCTCCCACATTGGCACGCCTTTCCCCGTTCTTTTTTCCTTGCTTTTAAAGCATTTCCGCTTATATATAAAATGCCTGTGTGTTGCTGATTCCGCGAAGTTGTCCGTCCCCTCATCATGACTGCCATTTATCTTAAGCGAGAATGGGACATACGTATATTATTTAGTCAAAGGCATATTTTCTCAAAAATGGCATACATGCGCGCATTTCTCTTCTATTTCAGCTCTAAAACCAAAAGATCAACCGTTTTATTCGCACCTAATTAGCTTTGTTTTACAACCTTGTTTTACAATGTTTTACAAACCTTATAAAAATAAACTTGTTTTACCAACATGTTTTACAAACTTGTTTTATTTAAAATTCCTTAAAACTTGTTTTACCAACTTGATTTACAAACTTTATGTTTGCAACCTTGTTTTACAAACCTTATGTCTCTACCAACATGTTTTTTACCAACATGTTTTACAAACATGTTTTTTACCAACATGTTTTACAAACTGTTTCATTAAAAAACCCTTAAAACTTGTTTTACAACTTTTCACAAACTTTTTTACAAACTTATGTTTGTAACGTTGTTTTATACGTTGTTTTACAAACCTTAAGTTTCTACGAACTTGTTTTACAAACTTGTTTTATAAAAAATTCCTAGTTTTACAATTTAATTTACAACTGTTCTAAAACTTCTCAAGTTGTTTCAAGTTTATTTAAGTCTACAATAATTATAATTAAGATTGCGATCTTCTGGGTTATACTCTTACCTCCACTCATTCATTTTTTGCTTTAAAGGAGAACTCAAAAACAGGACGGAAACGTCCCTCGGCATTTCCTTTCACTTGCCAGCCTTATATGAAAAATTATCTCTATCTATCCCCCTTCAATCGATGTTTATATCCAACAGCAACAGCCCACCAAATATGGCAAAATTGCTTTAAGTAGTAAAAGAATTACCACAAAATTACCACACAACACCCACCAACCCCTTTCTCCTCTCTCTTTTTTCTCTTATTGCCATTCTTTTTAAATAAAGCGCACCCTCATTTCTCACTTGTTTTCACTCAAAAGCCATTCTTCCATACAAAATTAACTTTTTTGGCTACTAAAATAATATATCATCATCATAAATTCTTTTATTTTTTACTTATTTTTAGTGTGTTTTTTTTGTAGTATTATTAGTATTCGAGAAAGAATTAATTTTAATTTAGTTAATATTGTTTTTACAATCCCAACTTTGTTTTTAAAAAAAATTAATTAAAATTAATCAATTTTATTTTTTACAATCCTTTTTACAATCCAAGTTTATTTTTCATAATTACAACTTTGTTTTACAATTTCACCTTCCAACTTTTTTTTCGAATCCAACCTTCCTTGTTTTTACAATCCAGCCTTTTACAATCCAACCTTATTTTTACAATCCTAATGTTTTACAATCCATTATTTTTACACTCCAACTTTTATTTTACAAAATCCATTTTACAACCCCAACCTTGTTTTTACAATCTAACATTTTTACAATTTATCCCTTTTAATAATCCGAACTTTTCTAAAATCCCAACATTGTTTCTAAAATCCAACTTTGTTTTTCTATTCCAACCTTGTTTTTACAATCCAACCTTTTTTTACAATTTTTACAATCCAACTCTTAAAACTTTAAAAATTTCAGTTAAAAAATAATTCAAGTCCATGTTCGGCGTCCCCCTTTAAATTTATTCCCGGCATGGCAAAGTGTTGTAGCGTTGTTGTTGGAAGGACGAAGATGACAACAACATTTCCTCTATCAAAACAATCCCAGATTTATAAACTACTTTTGTTATTTTTGTTGCCAATTCTGTTCTGCTCATTGAGGGGGGAAGCAGCTTTGTTACAAGGTGGAAAATTTAAAAATTTTTTTAAAAAAATAAAAATTGGGGGAAGTAAAAAATTTATTTGGTCTGAAAATGTAAGAAAAACATGACTTTACTTCATTTTCCTATTAAACGGAATATCCACCCAGTGGGGGGTAGGTATTACCCCAAAACCTACCCCACGACATGCCACCCAGCCATGTTCGGCGGGTGGCATGTCGTGGAAAAGAATCTACCAAAAAATGTGTTAGCTACAACTTTTCACCTTTTTGCCTTTGACTAACCAGACATGTCCTTAAATAGAAAAAAAGTTTTGTTGTATTTTTGCGTGACTATTTATTGCATTAAAGTTTTTTTATAGCTTAAATATTTATAGCCATAAAAATGATTCTATCTGAATTGTATTTTAAATTCTAAGTTTGTATTTATTTCATTAGTTTTACAAACCAACTTTAGTTTTTACAATTACAATTTGTTTTACAATTTAATTTTAGTTTTACAATCCAACTTGTTTTTATAATTAAAGTTTATTTATTTAAATCCAACTTTTTTTACAATTCCAACTTTGTTGAACAATTTAAGTTTATTTTTTCAAACACAACGTTTTTATAATTCCAACTTGTGTTTACAATTCATTTTATTATTTTTACAATCCAACTTCAATTTTTAAATTCCAACCTTTTTACAATCCAACTTTTTTTTAATAATTCCAACCTTTTTTTACAATTCAAGTTTATTTTACAATTTATTTTTATTCTTTTACAATCCAACTTATTTTACAATTTTATTATTTTTACAATCCAACTTTTTTTTATAGGTACTTTATTAATATCCCGCCCCCCACCCCTATTTGAGTCTCGGATTAATTTTCCTTTTTATTTTTCCTGCCTCGGAATGGTCAAATTTCCTTCTTTATGATTATTAAATTTTGCCGTTAGGCCGATTAATACAGTTGCTATCTATTTTCTTCTTGCTAATACTTGCCTTTTACCTGTAATGTTTGAAGGAAAAAATGATTGACACTAAAAAAGGAAAAATTAATCTGAGACTCAAATAGGGGTGGGGGGCGGGATATTAATAAAGTACCTTTTTATATTTTCAACTTTGTTTTTACAATTCAATTTTATAAAACTTTGTTTCCTTCTTTCCTTTTACTTTCAGACAATTTAGCATCTAAAAATCCTTAACTTAATCTTCTAAAAAACCTTTTTTTATTCTTTTAATCCTTGTTACATTAAAACAACTTTTTATTTCCATTTTAAAAATTTTAAAATTATATTACTTTATTTCTCAAACAAAAAGTCTCTTTTTCTAAATGTGTGGGGGCAAAGACGGAAATCACGTCAACAAAAATAAAAGAAACAAATAAGGAATATTAAATGAGTAAATAAAAATATTAAAAAGCACTATAAATAGGTGGAAATAAAAATAAAAAGATTTTTTAAGATTAAATTAAAGATCAAAAAGAGAAACAAAAGTTTAAATTAGTTTATTTTTGTCACTAAACATATTTGTGAGAATTTGAAAGGTTAAGTTTATTTAGGTTCCAAGTTTGTTTTTTTTTAATTCTAATGTGTTTTTACAATCCAACATATTTCACAATTCAAGTTTATTTTACAATCCATTTTTATTATTTTTACAATCCAACCTATTTTACAATTCAAGTTTATTTTTTTTCTAAATTCCAACTTGTTTTTACAAGAAAAAGTTTTAAAACTTGTTTTACAATTTTTAAGCGAAGAATTAAAGTTTTACAATTGTGATCGTGTTTGCTTCGAAATTGAAACATTTTTTAAATAAATAATTGTTTTACAATTGTAAAAACCTATTTAACTTACCATTAATGTTGCATTAAAGTATTAAAACTTGTTTTACAATTATTAAACGACCTAGTGTATTTCTCAACAAAATTTACTTCTCTTCTTATTAAAAAAATTTCCTTATTTTATTCGCAATCTTAAAATTGAGAAAAAAATTTTTTGTTTTTAGAGACCAATTACTACTATTTTATTTTACTTTTTTCATTTTCTTGTTTTTGAATTTCTTAAACTCATTTTTCAATTTTTTTTCGTTATTTCCCGATTTGGAATATAAAAGAGCCTTTGGCTAAACTGACATCAGAATGAACACAAAATTAAAATGGAAAGAAGAAAGTTTCCTTTAGGGAATAAAAGTTTAGAAGATGTTAGGGGGTAAAAAGTGCAAATAAAGAAAAGAATCTCTTGTATTGAAAAAAAATTTTACAATTATGGAAATTGTAAAAAAATGTTTAATTAGAAGTTGTAAAAACAAACTATTTAAATGAAAAAGCTTAGAACTTGGAAATTAGATTACAATTACAACTTTTTAAAGTTTTAAGTTTTGGAAATTCAAGTTTTACAATCAAGTTTAATTAAAGATTTTACAACTTGTTTTACAAAACTTTTAGAGTTTTACAATTCAAGTTAAAGTTTTACAATTTGAATGTTTTACAAATTACATGTTTAATTAAAGTTTTACAATTTCTACTTTAAAACTTGAAGCTTTAAAACTTGGATTGTAAAACTTTAAAAAAGGGTGTAATTGTAATCTTTAACAAACAATAATTCTTTTAAAGTTTTACAATCTTAAAATTTACAATTTAATAAATTGTAAAAAATAATTATAACAAGTTTTTACAATTACAAATTGTAAAAAACCTTTTTAATATTGCAATTAAGTTATATTGCAAACTAATAATTATTTCTTATTATAAAATATCGTAAATACTCTAATAGAAGCCCTAGGCTTATATTCAATGGGCTCCCTTGGATAGGCTTCTACAAGAGGTGGACTTCTATTGGAGTATTTACGGTAACTTTTTTGTTTTTTTAAATATTAATCCAAAAATAATTTTTAATTACCGTATTTATTCTAATAGAATGGCCCCTCCATTAGAATGGCCCCTCCAATAGAATGGCCCCTTTTTGGGGGTAATGAAAAATAGAATGGCCACCTCCATTAGAATGGCCCTCTAATAGAATGGCCCTTTTAACTAATAAGTATATGCCTGAATACATTTCTTTATTTTCCTATTATGTATTAAATATTACTCTTTAGTAAGGATAATCATAATATTTTCGAGCAAATCTGGAGTCATAAAAGGGAGATTAAGAGGGATATTAGGGGATTTGAGAGGATTAGGAGGGATATCAAGAAATTACAACGATTTAATGAAGATGCGTGGGATTAAGAGAATTAATAGATATTTATTTATTTTATCAGGGGACTTGCAGGGACATAGGATTTTGAGGAATAATG